TTTCATTTACAGTTTCACACAGTCAAATGGAGTCCAATCTTTTTCCTGACTCTCCAAAGACTGCAAGATTGGAGTCCTCAAGTCTTTCTTTACAAACTACAAGCATCCACCGTGTCCGGGTAGTGTTCGCTCGTCGACGAGCGCGCACGACTTCCCTTTCTGCCTCAAAGGGAGTTGGTGTGCGCTCGTCGACTAGCAAAGCCTACACAGACACGGTGATCACATTTATCAAAATTACATTGTCACCAGGACTAATAAAAACTTGAGCAGCTTTTACACTCATGGGTTCAAATCAATCTTCATACGTTACATAGTTCAGGCTTCATATAAATTATGAATGGTAGATTGACTTGGATACAATCCAACATAGAGTATATAATCTGGCTCCCAACATGAGTTGCAGGGATTTGAAATGAGATGAAAAAGAGAACTTTGATGGTATGTCTTTAATCTTCTCTAGGAGGCCAAGCCAAAGCTCTCTCTATATGTTTGCTCAGACAACTATCACAATAGAATCACTCTCACATACCCCATTATTTCATTGGATATCACTGCAACTCACATCTTTGGCAATGGCAGAAGGAAGACTTTGGATCAATGACATTTGCTATATCTCTGGATTTACAACTTCTTTGAATTGCAACAAATGGCTTCCAATTTTCTGGTATCCTTCTATGTATTAATCTCAACTTGATTTCCAATTCATTCCCTCATCTCTGTGTTTCCAAACTCCCAAAGAAATGAAATCCTTCATTGAAAATATCAAAATGTCCCTTTAACAAACCCTTATAAACAACCTATGTACACACATAAATCAAACTCTTATGACCCCAAATAAATACAAATAAAATAAAACATGTACATAAATACAAGATGATCTCTGTTGATCCATGCAAACCTCCTCAGAGATTGACTTCCTCAAATCCTCATTTCTGTGTATGATACATATCTTTCAATCCTTTGATATGTCGAACAATCTCAGCTATACTCATAATCAAAATCATTTTTTTTGAATCAGCGATCAATACAACACAAAGACAAAATATGATCATCTAAATGAAATTCTTACCTGCACTCTTAGCATTTTCCGCTTCCACCTCATATCTTTTCTCACCCGATTCTCTAGCAACAACCAACTTGACTCCACAGCTATTATTATTATTTCCATGACTACCACCTCTGACTAAACAATCGACAATCTGACTAACATGATAACTACTAATCTTACCACCTCCTAATAATCCAGTTCCAATATGTACATAATCATCTTCAATACTAAGCACTCTTTCATGTTTACCCAAGATTCCTCTTCTTCTGATTTGAACTACAAATGATTTATTCGATTTGACCAAATCATTGATCGATACATACTTCGGTTCAGGTGGTTCTGATAATCTTTTAAAGATTGAAGCAGATGGGTTCGTATTCGTATTGTTCATCCCTGCCATTCCTATCAACAGTTTACTCGAGACTTGATTCCGTTTCATCAATCCAAGTGAAGTGACGCCTTGTAAAGATTCTACTGTTCGATCCAATGGTACTAAGATATCTCTCTGTTGTGAAGTTTGAGTTCCAATCGATTGAGCTGGTACAACTAATGCCCATTCTTTAGATGAACCTAATCCTTTCTTCTTACAGAGCATCTCCAATACGTCAGCCAGATACATGTCCATTGACACATTCAGGGTGGTCATGATAGAATCTACTCCTTTGCCTGGTGATGGAATCCTGATCTTTAGATAGACTGGTATACCCATAATCGAAGCTCCTGTGAAGGTTCCTCCTCCCAATCCTCCTCCCATCACTAATGAATCACTGAGACCGCCAGTTCGTCGACTATCAAAAGTTGTACCTGATAGTCCAGTGGTCGCATTGATAGGTAGTGGAAGCAAATTAGTTGTACTCGAGCTTGCTGACGGACGTGGTGCCCGGTTAGGTTCTCCTAAGATCCTAGACGGTCTTCTTTGTATTTGACTTTGAGCAATCGCATTTTGTTTAGCTATAAGCCAACCCGCACGAAAAGGAAACAATCTTTTGATCAATACAATCTGCAACAAACTTGCACAGATACATTCTCAATTTGACCTAACGACTTACCTTGACTTTCACTAGCCATGACGATTGCAAACTCATTGCTACCCACTTTTCCAATCCCTCTAGTTCGTTCCAGAGCCGGAAAATCTTCATCAACTTCTCCATCATCTTCCACTAATCTCAAAGACCAAGCCCAAGTTTCAATCAAATCTTTTCCACCTTGAATGTCATCTAGTTTCGGTTCTCGATCTTCTTCAATATAAGCCCATAGTCCAAACCCAATGACTTCTTCCACGCAAACATCCGTTCGAATCGATCGGTTGATCGGCTTCTTGGGTTCTTTTGAGAAAGGAAAATACATCTTCAATTTGATCGCGTTCCTTTCCTTACTTGATAACATTGAATATAGACATCTAAACGGATTCTCTGTGGTAGGATCCTTAGACTTTGATGTTAAAAGTTCTGTCAACTTTGATTTTGTGGCCGATGAAGGAATAGATGATGGCTTGACTTCTATCTTCTTAAAAGTGATACCCACCCGTTTTGGTTTGATCTTCGAACTACTATTACTAACAGGACTACTGGGAAATGAATCCTTAATGGGACTCGTGATGGAATTCTTCCGAGTCCCAATGGTTGTGGTCGTCAAGAGTTGACCAGAAGTATTGATAGATTTCGGACTTGATCTACCTCTCCTTCTTCTGGGTGGACGAGATAAAACACTCCCAGAGCTATCTGCTTCGACTGCAATTGCCGGTATAGGAGTAGGAGTAGTAAGAGATCTAGCTCGTCCACCAGGACTAAAGCTATTCAGATTGGCTAATTCAGCTTTTTCTTCTTCAGTCGGATCAGGCTGACTAACTCGGTTTTGCACTTTGATCGCTCTCCTCAAATCTGGCAATGATGGTCGAGCAGTTGCAAGAGGATTGCTCTTCATCAGTCTTTTTCGGGTAGCAGTGGTCGGGGTTGTTTTGCCTTCTTCTTGACCGTTTTCTTCCTCAATGATTGGTGATCCCACCAATTGACCCATCTTGATATTCACCCTTCTTCTTTCTCTACGCCTGATGGTGGGTATAGGTTCAGATGTCATTCCATTAAGTTTTTGCGATGTCGATGATAATGATGATGGTGTGGGCTGATGATTAAGTATCAAATTGGTTTCCATCACTGAATCCGGGATCGGATTCGACAATGATTTTCCATACGAATTCGTTGAATAATCATCAGTAGAGCTCGTCCCAGCTTTCTCTTCTTCTTCTTCTTCTTCTTCTTCCCCCTCCTCTTCCTCCTCTTCTTCTAGATTTGAACTAGATCCAACACCTGCTTCAGTTCCTGATTCACTTTCACTTTCCTCTTCTTCTTCCTCTTCTTCTACTAATAAAGGAGCGGGCTCAAACCCAACACTTCCTACAATTTGTGTACGTCGATTAGGCTTGTAATTGAATAATAGATCGGATAGCCGTTTATCTGGATCATGTTCTCTAGAATAATATGCCTCTGCTGAAACTGTGGCGGTTGCTATTCTTGAGGGAACCTCTTCTTTTATATCTTCTTGTATCTCCTCTTGTAACATACGAGATGAGTTTTGTGTTGTATCGGCATCCATGTCAGATGAATTGATTGTATTGGTCGTAGCAGTCGAACTTGCAGTGTGACTTCTCAATCTTTTAAATCCACCTGACGTCTGCTGTAGAGGTGGTAATGGTTGAGCAAAGCTTACGGCTGAGACCCTTCTTCGATGTCCTTTGATTGTATCAGCTGTAGTCTGTCGAGAATGTAGAGTTTGCTTCATCTTTGATTCGTCGTCTTCTTGAGCTACATTCCTTGAACGGTTCTCGTCTTCATCACTCTCTTCTGGATCTAAACCGACCCCGGAGATGATTTTGGCTCGACCTTCAGTTAATGCTAATGCAGTGGCTCCAGCTTTCGTAGTGGGATTCTGAGTTCCAGATCCAGAGGCGACGGGTTCATTATTGACAGGTAGCTTTGAATCACTTTGAAGCATCATACCACGACCACGAGAGTTTCTGATCGACTTTCTACCAGAGACTCTCATTCCAGCTCCACTACCAGTGCCTTTCGGACCTACGATAGTCTCACTATAACGTAAACTGGAACCTGAGGGATTCTGATTCTGTTGCCTTCTTTGTCGAGTTGGTATCGGATCAGGTGGACTACCAGTGACCATCAACTCAGGCCATCGTTTGAGATCTGTTAGTCCTGATAATTGTAGATAAGGATTCTGTTGAGAGGATGATTTGAATGAGATCGAAGTAGGTCCATTAGGATCGGGTAATCTTCGTAAGTAATTTAACTTCAAAGCGTGTAAAAAATATCTATGAAAAGTTGGATTAGATTATCAATGAGATGATAAATCAGAAGGAAGGAAGGAAGGGCGAGAGAGAGAGAGAGAGAGAGAACTAACTCAGGATCGACTAAGAGAGACATCTGAACGAATGAGATGATAGTTTTGGACTAAAAAAGATTTCTTCTCGAGCGTTTCAGTTGTGGTGGTTTGATTGAACCATGACTGATCATCAACACTGGAATTCACACTCAACTAGAGTTATGCTACAACTTTACTACTCAAAATATGTATCTTATCACATCATAACTAACCTACAACTTCAACTTCACCACTCTAAGGCCTCCTTCATCATCAATCCCAAACAATTTTTATCAAGTACGGAGTCTCTATTGTCACCAGGTTGTATGGATTTGAGTACAGATTCAGCAGATCATCTGTCACTGGTCAGTTGTGTTCAATGCATAGCAATTGAAGTGTCAAGTTCAACCAACACAGCTTTGAGATGTTACAACTTTGACCTGACCTCCATTGTAACACACTGTCACTGTGTAGACCCGAGCTGACCAAATGCCAAAGTAAGCATGGGTATATTTCAACACAGAATGTCCAACAAGATAAGGGCTGTTAACAAGGATGATTTGGATAGGAGATGGTCATATTTGTCGTATTTTGGCCGGGCTTGGATTGTTCAGACAATGACTGTCAAGTCAAATAACATACAGAGACGGTTAAGAGAATCTGGGGCGCTTCAGCTCCGTGGTGTCAGTGCAGGCAGGTGCAGGCCAAATTTGAGCAACTTAATAGTGAAGTCAAGCTCATCAACCATAGCCCAACATATACCCCAACATGTAGTTACTCTTACCTATATGTGGAGCCTCATGTAAAAGGACCATACCCAAACAGTTGACTTATCTGTCTATTGATCTGTTCATTGTGTTGCAAGTAGAGAAAGAAAAGGACCTCTCTTGGTAATATTCTCAAAATAAAGAAGTCTGATCTGATTGAAAGTAGGCAATATACAAGGTCACACTATGATGTTTAACTTTGTTGGCTACCCAATCCCAAAGATATCTTTAATTTGATATTCCTACCTCATCTGGTCAAGACAGATGTATTTTCTCAAAGATCAAAATTTGAAGTGGTTGGTGTGATCAGCCATCCTGAAGGTTTTGATTTCTGATACTTAATTCAACATTTGAATTAGTGGATTATTTCAGAATTGGGACTGGGAAAGTAAGTTATATTTGAAGTTTGGGTGTGTAATCAAGACAAGCTTATTTTGCTATGAACATTTTGAGTATAGTTTGATTTGTAAGAATGATGTTTTAGGGGGGTTCAAGTTGAGAATAAATAAGCAGGTTTGTTTAAAAAACAAGCAACTATTGAAACCAATTTGAAACCGGTGAAGGTTGCTTGTTTGCATAAAAATGTTTGAAACCCCCCTGCTTCAATAGGATTACTAGAATACAGAGCCAATTCAAGTCAGAGTCCTGTCACATAGAGAGATGTCTTTCACAACTCTTGGTAGACATGACAAACCAGAGGCAGAGACACTCTGACTTCATTGACATTTCCATCACCTTGGAAATTGTCAAATTATGCCTTGAACCTCTGAGTCTGAGCACACACAAATCATCCAAGACCCAAGTACCCTTGCAGTAATTGCCAACAAGTTACAACAAAGCTATCAATCAAATACTGGTTGACCCTACCAGCAAGAAACTGTTGGCAACAATGGGTGAACAGTTAACCTATGTGAAAAAATTACCATGTAGATTTCACTGGTTTCATAGGTGGTCTTGTGGTCAAGGGACACACACATTGTGCTTGTTTCATCTGAAAAAAGTGCTTGCTTTTGTGGATTAAGAAAACAAGCCACATCCAGAGCAGGCTTGTTTGGTAAAAAATTTAAGCTTATAATTAAAAAAAGAACTACATTTTGCTAAATTTAGTGAAAAGTTCTTAACTTGAAACCCCCAAAGAATTGGGGTGTTCAATGTGTCAATTATAAGGTTTTCAAACTGGGGAGGGGTAAAACTTCAGTTGGCAGGAGTTGATGAAAATTTGGTAGGCAAAATTGATCACCTCAGAAGAGAAGAAGTTCCAACAATCTTCACTTGTATCTTTTCTTTGCCAGGCCAAAAGACTTATCTTCCCATGTAATCCAATCAGTCAGAAGGATTAGCCGAGAGGAAACAGTCTAAGACCCACAAGCAGAAATTTCTGGGTTTGAAGCATCCAAGTGCTCATGGTCTTGGCCTCTTGAAGAAACTTTGCACAGCACATAGATCATTGAACTCTGGGCCCAAAAAATCTCTGGGATATCCTTGAGCAGAGCATATCAGAGGCATTGCACCCAAGGAGTTCTTGGATCTCCAATTCTGCACAATATCTGCTGGTAAAAGTTCCTAAATATACAAGCACCAATCACCTAAATGCAACAAGACACTGAGTTGAAAGAACCTTGGAGGTCTTTCAGGGTATTTCTTGACTTCAGCCTTTAGGTGTGCTGGGTTCATCACATTGTCTACAGTGCTAGCATAAATTCATCAAAACTGAACTTGCACATTTGACAAGAATCCTATGTAAGTTTGACTGATGCCCACAGTTTGATGATTTGGCCAATTGCCCAATTTGGATTGTGTTGCCTAACATATACAGTGAGTTTGTGCAGCAAAAACTAATCACTGCAGTGCAGTGTAGGACAGGGAGGACCAGAGATTAGCCATATCAGTGTTTATGCAAGACAACATGAGAAAATGTTTTTATGCATTTCTTAAAGTCCCCCTGAGCCGTAGGCTATCAGGCGCTGTAACTACTTCTGCTCTGGTCCAGTAAAAACCCCTATGGGGAAAAGGACACATGCTGGCTGTTGGAAGTATTGCAAGTGCTGTTTGAATACATGAGGTGGCGCTAAAGGAGGGTGTGCATTACAAAGAATAATGAGATAGGGGGAATGTGGGTGTTCTGAAGAGCTTTCTATTTGGCTATGATGGCCCAAACCCAGCAGCCTCCAAGTTCTCAGGCTGATTTTCTGAATTTGGAAATACACTTGGATGCTTTCAGGTTCTTGAGTACATCTGTTGATTCTGGTAGGTGAGGTCTGTTTGTTGTTGATGAAAACTGTTTTTGTTGATTGCAGTATCTGTGGCATATAAAGAGACACAGCCCCCAGCTACTAGTCATGGGCAGGCCAGAGACTACCACTGACTCCAACAGAATTCCAATATGATTGCAAAATAATTTCAAAATAATTTCAAGAATTCTTTTTCCAACATTACCTACCACCAAAATTTGGATGTCATCAACTGTCATCAAAAATTTGTACACAACTGCTCCTGTATTCACAGATCAAGAATATATAGTTCACTAACCTTCATCATGTACATTGGATGAGTTATCAAGATTTCAAAAAAAAATTATGGATCAAAACAACAATTTTTGCACTACAAGCAAGAATCAAATCTTGACTATCTTCAAACTGAATCAAGATACAAATAAAACATAATTGAGAACCATTTCTGCAATGTGGTTTACCCCACTTTTTCACCTTAGAGCTTGAAGCATACACTACACAAGCATAATTATTTATAAGCATCAAAACCCATCTAACCCTTTTTGGTTGACAGCAATTTTGCAAATACAAGCACACAAGCTCAAAGCATAAATTTTTGTATGATATGCTTCTAAGAATAGGGGGTAAGCATGGGAATAGAAGCATTACATCAAGCATAGAGGGTTCATATGCTCCTATTTGACATGTTATTTGCACATCTGTAATTGTCAAACATGTCAATTCCATCATAATTGTGTGATGTGTACACTGTTATTATTAACAACACCCCTTTTTAGGGCTTACCTTCTCTTGCAGTATCTCATCTCACAACCAGTACCATCACCACACTCCAAATCTTGTGTGATTCACTTTTAATTGTGGCCACTTCATCAGTTGATCAAACCACTGCTGAAATACTCACTCTTAGTCAAAAACTTCTGCAGGAGCCAACTCAGCAGCAAATTCACCTTCCTCTTCAATCATGTCTTTCATGTCTATGGTAGTCACTATTGCTGCAATAAGACAACTCCTTTATTTTGGCCATGAGCTTAAATTCACCTCCATTTCTTGTATAAGCACTTCATAAACATTTATCAATGGTTGTTTGATTATTTGGGAATGATAGTGTGTGTGTGAGTTGTTTACTTTTTTACGGCCGGAAAACACTTCACAAAAATGCTTTACCGTTCTTTGGGGTTTTTGTTTCTATTTTTGGCAAGAATTACTTCTAAAATTTTGTCAAAATCAAGTTGGCCTTTCAAAGCTTTCAAAAGTGTTTAAGAATAAATTTTGTTCAGATGAGCAAGCTACCAAGATAAACTGAAAGCAAATGTTTTGAGGCCCCACCCTGTGTGATTGTGTTTGGCAAAGACAACTACAGTCAATTAATCCAAGTGTGATAGCTCAGGATTTGAAAATTGGGATTGGAAATGACAATGTGATGTTTGTGCATGGCATTAGGATTTAAACAGTGGCAACATGTCAACTCAAAGACAATTTGGATTTAGTCAGATACTTGAAGAAACACAAGATGAGAACATGATCTTGGAAGGAATTCTTGGATAAACCCAATGATATAATTTTCCAAAACTGTAAAAGGTAAGCTGATGAATTTTCACTGATGAATCAACTCAAAAAGAAAATAGCACAATTTGTTTTGACTAGAAATGATAAAAACAACACATGAAATCTGTCATTGCAGTGCATGCATGTGAAGAAAATCAGACAAGGAAAAAAACACATCTCAAAAGTCTTACAACTCTGTCCTCAAGCTGAATATGAAGCATTAATTGGATGTCTCTAAACAGAGTCAACCATTCACAGCATCACAAAAAATGAAAGAAAGCAATTGCCACAATATGTGGATGAGACACAATCTTAATTAAACCAGATCATACTGATATCAGCTATACTTCTTCTGTATACTTTACTGCTGGTTTTCCAAAGCAGATGGTATACTTTTTACCCAAAAGTGGATAGTTGTACTGTTGAGGGATTAAAAGGAAAAAGCTTTTCAATTTCTAGATAGGCTGACATTGTGATAACAAGAAGAATCAAATCACAAACCTTCTTGCAAAAACTTGTGTAATCAATATGCTCAAGCTTATCAAGATGGATCGATTGATTGATGGACTTCCCATGGAGTTGCTTAAATCTTGTAATCCTTGAATTGAGAATCTGATACAGATCAAAGTGATTGATGAGAAGCCACTTCCTTAACAGCTCCCAAGAGAGGGTCTCCCAATTTGTGCTGGATGGTCCATATTCTAGTTGAAGTATGACCTGAGTGTGATCCTGAGGATCAAAACTATTTCCAAAATGAGATATTCTATGATTCTGTGTTTTGAGAATGAAGTTCTTGAGTGTTTCATGAAACAAAGATGATACTTTTTCTGCCCAACTTTTGAAAAAACTGTAAGCTGAATGCCTCAAAGTTGAAAGATCCTGAGTTGAAAAAGAAGTATGAATGTTTCCCTGATCAAACCAATAATAGAACCACTCAAGTTTGTGAATAAAAGTTGGGAAGACTATATTCTCTAGCTTCCAAACAGCTGGATATTTCTCAAGGAGAACATTTGGTGCTGGATACAGGTCTAAAACAGCTTTCTTTTCTTGGTGTCCAAATGCTTTCAAGAAAACTTCAAAATCATCAAAATCTTTAAGGTGTTTTGAAATAATCTTTTTCCCCTGATGTGCACAAGTGTACATCAAAAGAAGAGGTTTGTGATGCTTGACATTTAACTTTTCAAGCAAATTTGAGTAATCTTTCTCCTCCTGATGCATTTTGGTAAGAATTGTGACCAACTCAGATGGTCCATGATCATCTAAGTTGATGTGCAGATCTTCATTGGTGTCATTGGGCACAGTGAAAATTGGATAGTTACTATGTTCTTGAAGGCCATCAGGAGGATTATTTTCAGGATGATGTAGCATTTTTATTGAGGTTTTATCATCCAAGGGTGAATCTGGCCCAATGGAAATGTTTAAATCCCTTCCCCAAGACTGGTGGATCAGCTTCTCTGCATTTTTGCTCTTTATATGTAACCCATGATTCTTTTCCCTAGAATTGGTGCTGCATGGTTTGGTTGGATCTTGAAGTATTTTTTTTGTTGTCTGTCTTTTCATTGCTCCACCCATTTCCTGATGCCTCTTTTTGTCTGTCTGAAGACCTATCCTCTTTCTACTGCTACCTGTGTTTATTCCATCCGCTTTGGTTTTCCCTTTCATTTCATCTTTGAGAATTCAGTCCCAAGACAACCATTGAGTATTGGAGCAGGTTCAGTCCTTCATTGTGTGGATTGGAAGACATAATTTTAAGGAGAGTACCTACATAATAATTGTTTCTCCGTGGCTACCTCTTCTGGTAGATTGAGATTGAAATTAGTGGTGAAAAGCTCTCTTCCATGAGTTTCTTCAGATGATACCTCACGGGGGATTGATGTACTTTGTGTGAATAAGGGCAATTTCAATGAACTTTCTGTGTTTGACTCATAATTTCCAGATATCCTGAAGTGATCATGGTTAAGACAAGGAGTTATATTGCTAACACCTTTTAAAGGTTTTGGAAGTAGCTCTCTTTCTTGATTGGGAGAAGACAATACAAATCCCATGGAAAGTAGTACCAGTAGGGCTTTTACCCTGTTTTGAGAGCTTGTGAGGTTCATCATTCTTATGTTTGTTGTGTAATCCATGATTCAAATTGGCATATATAAACAAAAGGTTACAGTGATCAGTAGAAATTGAATTGTACTGATAAGAAATAGTGGGAAAAAAGACAAGATCTTTGAAGATCTGCCACAGTTGATCAGAGAAACCACCAGCTTTTCCAATTTGAAGCAAAATACAGACCTTGAGAAAATGTTTTAAAGAATAGCATGTCTCCCACTTGTACTTGTATCATTGATTGTACATACATCACTAGGAGGCATTTTCTGCCACATTTGGATATGTGAGACATGCAAGGACATATGTTGATCAGAACTACACAGTTGCACAGCTAAACCTTGATCAACTGTATGCTCATTTGAATGTGACATGTCAATCACAATTTTCTAACTTTTGCACATGCAGCATGGATTGGACACATTTTGTTATACATGTACAGTCAGTGACAAAAAGTTTACGTACCTGTAGCAGAACTCACCCATTTGGCAACTCTCAAACTAGCTTATTCAGCTCTCAATCTCACTATTCATGTACCAGAAAGTACATGGTCTAGATGGCCACTAATCAGAGTACATATGAATGAATTTCAGGATTCACAAATGTAATGTAGACTCTATAATACAATGACTTTTACCAGCGAGTGTGTCCACCCTTTGCTTTGAGCACAGCCTTGATTCAGTCAGGCATGGACTCGACTAAATCTTGAAACTTGCTCTGAGGGATTGCTTTCCACTTGGTAAACAGTGCTTCACGCATTTCTTGAACCGTTCTGGGTTGGTGCTTTTCAGAGACATTTTTTTTCATGATGTTCCAAATGTTCTTGATTGGGTTCAGGTCTGGACTATTTGCAGGCCATTCTAACTTTTCAATTGAATGTTCATCCCTCCATTGTTTTGCCACTTTGCTTGTGTGTACCGGGGCTCCATCCTCCATCAAGATGAGGTCAGGTGGACAGTTAGGTGAGGTGACAAGTGGTTCAATAATCCGGCAATACACCAAATCGACAAAGTAAGCTCCAGTTTGACGTCCGACCGGCATGACTATTATTGGTAAGCAAAGTTCAGCTGTGAACGCCCCTCATATCATTACTGAAGTCCTTCCACTCTTGAAACTTGGGGCCAAACAGTCTTTGTTGTATTTTTCACCCGGTTTGCGCCACACCCAAACCTTCTTTGCAGACTTTCCAATTTTGAATGATGATTCATTGGTCCAAATGACTTTCTTCCAATTGTTATAAGTCCAATCCTTGTGTTTTCTAGCAAACTCAAGACGCCTCAGAATGTGTTTACTCTGGAGATAAGGCTTAACTACGGCAACTCGGGAGTGAAAGCCAAGTTTCCGGATCTCTGATTGAACTGTTGATATACTGGCTTTTATGGGTAGCTTGCTAGCAATATAGGCAGCTGAAGCATGTTGGTTTTGTTGTATCACCCGCTTCAAGGTTTGCTGATCATGTTCCAAGAACTTCTTTGGTTGTCCGAGCGTTTTTGAGATGGTTGATTTGCATCTTTTGCGGTCATTGTAGATCACTGTGTAGACAGTTGACTTGGGATGGCCAAGTTTCTTGGCAATTTGAGTGCCAGGAATCCCAAATTTGTGCACATAGATGATAGATTTCTGTTGAGTGGGGGAGGGGGAAAGTCTTCATTCTCAGAGACAATATGGATGAGGTATGGAGGATTTATTCAGGAAACAAAGTACCCATTGACTGGGCTACACTAATACATATGTAGTCGAGGTACATAAACTTTTTGTCACCGACTGTACAGACATTCAATTTCCACATATGGTCAATCACCAATTCTTGCTACCACAGCATACAAGACAGCTGTACAGTCTGACCTGCGCAAATGCATACCCGCGCAACTGCATAACCCGTGATAATGCATAGAAAAAATCCTAAATTTTGATACTTTTTACTGCCAAATTTGACAATGGAATTGCATAACCCGTCAAAATGCATAGCAAAAGCCTTCCACTCAAGTTATGCATTTGCGCGGGTTAGACTTTAAGTGGTTTGTCAACTTGTTTCTAGTGTACCTTTAGCAAAATGAGCTAGTTTTGTGTTTAATCAGTTTATGATCCCACATCTTCTTTTGAATCTGTGAACAGCTTGTTGTGATGTTGTGTGGTAGGCTCAGTAGGCAATGTGACAGTTAGACATCACAGTCAAATCACATGATTATAAATTGACAGTGCTACAGCCTGAAAATGTTGTTCCAGGGTCATGAAGAGGTATTGCCTTGGCTCCCAAAAATCTCTAGTACAATCTAGGCCAGAGACCAATTTATTTATTTTTCACTTTACCTTCATTCACCATATATTTTTGTATTGGGTGTCAGTCTTTCTTTTCATTTGAATCTTCTCTTCTCATACTGCATAGTGTAGAACCTACCAATTCCAATTTGTCTAACAGTCTCAACTACAACTGTTATGTTTATCTACACAGGTGACACATCATTCAATTTCTACTTCATCCTCATGAAATTTATGGTGTCTAGATTTAGACTTGCAACTCACATCAGACCACAAGGTTGAACTTGGTGGCCTGGTATCAAATGGCCTTGAAACTGATTTTGGGAAATCAGCAGTTCACCTACCAAAATGTGCAACCCTACCTCAGTCAATCTTCAAACAAAAAAATATCACCTGTACCAGTTCTCAAGGAAGATGTTATTGCAAGGCCCATCCAAAGACCACCCTCCACTGTAGAGGATCAGGCAATCACAACCCTTCCATGATATAGTTTCATAGTATGTGCTACAGAGTATTTTTCTACCCTGAGGCCCAGGGTATGGCCTCTTCTGACTCAGCATGAGCCCCGTTTCCCGCGGGCTCGGGGATCTCCGGCTTCCGTACCGTCGGTACGGTGCCTCGGGCTAGGTATCTCAGCCCCCCGGCACCGTACCGACTCCGACGGAACGGGAGCCGGGCCAGAGTATGAGGATCCCCGATTTTAATTGGGGAACCGAGCTATAGCAGAGAGCTGTAGAATCGAGGGCAGATAGGGAGAAATGAAAGGTGAGGAAGGCCTCGTAACAACTCATAAATCAGTATAAGGAGTCAAATACAATGAGATACCTGTACGAAACAGTAGAATATCAGCCGGAACTTGCTTGTGAAGCAGATTTATGATTTTTTTGATCTAGCAAGCTCTACCAACTAACACTCGACGGGGAACCAACGGGTAACCGATATTTCGGTAGGCCCCCGATTTTTGGTGGCGGGGGACGGTCTGCAGACGTACATGAAGATCCCCGACGGGGAGGGGTTGGCTCGGAAGCCGGGACACATTTCCAAAAAGTGCTCGGGGTGGATTTTTGCCGGTCCCCGCTCCCGAGCGAGCGGGGCTCATGCTGACTTCTGACCCTCAACAAATCAAATGTGGATTCAAAAATAAATGTTCCTATCATTAGGCATTGGGCGAAATTTTCGCTCTTTTTTCTATTTTTTTGACCGACCAGTGATGCGCCCCACGAAGCAATCCGAAGATTGCAGAAGCGAGTGAGTTTCACAGGTAAAAAGCAGGACCCCGGTATGCTCCTATAAGGGGTAGTCACATCAAAATATATCTTTTGAGCTCCCGCGGAGATAAGTCACTGGCTGGACCCATAACTCTAAGACGGTTTAATCTTTCAAATGAGCTGTATTGTATATTGAAGCCACTCTGAAATAGGCAAAAACCGGCAAAAACCTCAAAGACTATGGTGGGAGACACCAAAGATAAGGAAAAGCCCGATGAATCTTGAAATTTTACGCGAGCCCGCAGTTCTCAATTTGGTGAGAAGCCGAGGATAATTGTAAGATCACCTCCTCCAGAGCTTCTCAAAAGTAGCTTTTTAGAATGTTTCATCAAACATTACAAGAGCTATGTAAGCTGGGGTATCTTACATGTCAAGCTCATCTCTCTGAATTAGATGAATGCCTCAAATGAAAAGGTCACAAAAGCTATGCGATTGCTCTAGAAAGCTAGTTTTGAGGAGCTCTGGATCAGGCATCACCAAAGTGCCCTCGGCTTCTCACCAGTTTGAGAACTGCGGGCTCGCGTAAAATTTCAAGATTATTCGGGCTTTTCCTTATCTTTGGTGTCTCCCACCATAGTGCATAATCCCATGAAGCGTAAACCCGCGGGAGCTCAAAAGATATATTTTGATGTGACTACCCCTTATAGGAGCATACCGGGGTCCTTAAAAAGCCCTGTCGCTTTGCCCGGCTATCTTTTATGGGTCAGATGTTCATTTGCCTCGGTCCGATGACCGCTTGACTCTTGTCTTCGAGGTTTTTGCTCGTCAACTCCAGCAGTTTGTGACCAATCCAGAGGATCAAGATTTGAATCTTTTGATTTCAATTTCAGCTTGAAATTGGACGAGTCTGTCTAGTTTTGAGTCAATAAAATGTTCCAATTTTGACTTCCACATTAGATGAAAAAGTCATTGGATGATAGATCACGGCTGCTGGGGGATACCCGGGTAGATTCAGAACGGGGGGCCCCAGGCAAGGTATGTGTGAAATGTCTGAAAGGTGTCTTTTGTGGCGCGATTAGAGCTTGTGGCTTTTACAGGTCAAGCAAGGATGCTCTACGCCCGATGAAATTTCAGAAAATTTTTGTAAAGCAAAACAAGAATTTTTTTTTTGCTGTGCTTTGGGTGGCTTTGATATTGTGCCAGCCATCCCTACTCAAGCATTCCAAGAAAACTGAACTACCTTTGAATTGGTTCCCGCAACCAAAAAACGAAAATTTTCAGAAACCTCGCCCAATGCCTATTATCTTCAATTTATTTTTCATATCCCAATCCGGACAAATAACCCAGATGAGCAAAAAATAAACTAACCACAAATCTGAAAAAAAAATTGATTTTCAAAACAGCTATATTTCAAAGAAAAAAGAGCAAAGTCTCATTAAATACTACATTTCAGTATCACACAAACAAACACACACACACACACAACCACAACCACAACCACAACCACAACCACAACCACAACCACAACCACAAAAGCAGAGAAAAAAGAAACTAAGAAAAAACCAACAAACCAAAACTCAAAGTTTTTATAAAAAAAATCATTTTTTTCTATACAATTACACAAAACAAAAAAGATATATATGTATACCATAGAATCACAAAACAATCAGTAAAAACCAGTAAAATCCAATCCAATCAGCGACAAAAATGATTGATTTTCATCAAGAGAGAAAGAGAAAGAGAAAGAGAAAGAGAAAGAGAAAGAGAAAGATCAGATAAGAACAACAATAACAAACCAAAAAAAAAGAGAGTAAAGTAAACTAAAAAAGGAATGAATGTAAGAATATAGAAAGAAAACAAAAGAAAAAAAAACCTTATAAAAGAATGGATAAGAAGATCAATTATTTTGGGGTTTTCAAAGAATTTCTAAAAAATACAAAATCAAAAACAATTCATCATCAAAACAAAAACCACCCCTAAGATTCTTTTGATTTCCCTTCTCGATCCATTTCTTCAAATCCCAATCATTCCACTTCCAATCTTATCCTTCCATCAGGCTCCAAATACCCTTTCATTCAACATAAAGTACCAATTTATTACCCGAATCAATCCATCTTTCCAAATCTGAATCATTATCAATCCCAACCAATCGATGTCCCAAAGAATTATAAATCGGTAAAGTTTGACCCGTAGAAAACCCAATACCAGATTCATCTTTAAACCTTAATGAATGAATTTGATGTCCACTTCTTTCCTTAACTCTTTTAAACAATTCAAGATAATTGATATGAGTAGGTACTCGAATCGCAATCAAATCATCTGTTTCGATTTGATAGATTTTAATCTTTAAAAAGTTTCCTTGTTGATGTGTTGGATTAGGATTATGAGTTCCTAATGTGACGCCTAATCCGGTTGGGTTCTTGTTCTGCGTACTCGTTCCACTTCTCGAATCAATACTGGTGCTATGTTGATGTTGATGTTGATGTTGATAAGGATGTGAATGAGTAGAAGTTCCATCAAAGGCAGTTTGAATCGATCCATTCGATTCTTTATGTCCAACCTTTCTACCTTCCATCTCTCTCATCCCATTCTCTTCATCCCGAGTCGTCAATCCATTCATCAACTCTTCTAATCGGTTACCTTCTTCTTTATTCATCTTCGATAAATACTCCACTACTTCTCCTTCCACTTCTTCTTGTGATCGATTCAAACTCATCTCAACTCCTCCTCCTGCTCCTGCTCCTCCTACCTCTCCTTCTAATTCAACATCTCCTTCTCTAGGTCCTAAGAACTCATAAACCAATTCACATTCTCGAATCTCTTCTTCCATCCTACACAACTCTTCAAGATAAACCGATAATTCTTCTACTCTTCTTGCACAAACTAATTCATTGACATCTTCAATCATTTCAGGTATTTTAGGTAATTGATCTTCTGAAGCTGAAAACATTTCAACTAATGCTAAATGAAATTCATAAAAATCTTCATATAATCTATACAGAACTAAAACCGTGGTTTCATTCGAGTTTAAATCACTTGAGGAATTTCGACTAAAATGGGCTCGTAAATGAAACCAAAAATGTCCTTGTTCATGATGAAATGATTCAACTGATGCATGCACTACGACTCCATACCTTTCCCTAAGTTCATCTACTGTTGCATATCCGTCTCCTTCCTGAGTAGATCCTTCCGGTTCATCTTCTAAATCATATTGAACTTCAGATGGATTAGATCGATGTCCCATAGACTGATGATGTTGTTGATGTTGTTGTTGTTGTTGTTGCCAAGCTGCTACACTATTCGATGGTTCTCTAGAATGATGAGTTTGATAATTAGTTTGTTGTGAACTTCTACCACTCTGTGTAACTTGAATTGGATTCATTCCAAATGATTGTTGTCTAGAATGTGTAGCCGAAACTGATCTTGATGACATATGTTGTGATTGTCCATCATTACTGAACGGTCGATTTGATGAATGTGGCGTAGAAGGTGATGAATCAGGTACAAAATCAAATCGTCCTAATGGAATACTATTGCCTTTGTATGCTGCTGTGGCTTTTTTCCATTCTTCTACTTTAGGTACTACTGCACTTCTGATTAATTCTTTGACTCGATCTGGTGGTAATGCTTTACCACTTGTTAGATCTTGTACTTCTACAAATGAAACTGGGATTAAACCGGCTAGAATTCATCAAAACAGAAACAAATTCGTCAATGATTCTGGGTTCTTCTTTTGATTAATAAAAATCCACTCACGACCACCGAGACGGCCAATAGGTTTAGCTACAAACCATTCATGATTAGATTGAGCAATCTAGAAAGTTCAAAGAGGAAACAATCAGCACTCGTTCTCCAAGAAAAAATAGAAGCAAGAGAAGAGAGCTTACCACAATGATAGGTTCACCCCTCTTTGCATCGAGCTCATCTGGTCTTTCAGCAACGAAATCGTGTTGAACCTATAGAGAAGGGATTGAAAGTATATCATGTATTATTAGTATGATATGGATGATCAGGATGATGAGATTAAGAACTTACGACACCATAGAGTGGTTGACTTTTTTGACCATTACTACCAGCACTCTTAGGACCAGCAGAAAGAGGTTGAGCCCCAAGAGAGATAGATTGATTAAGAGATCGATGATGTTGATGAGTTTGTTGTTGTTGATTAAATTCCGAATGACGAGGAGTATGTAAATTAGATTGAGAAGGAGGTTTTCCAAAGATTTCAAACCCAAATCTAGGTACTAATCCACGAGCCCCAGTAGCCGGATTTGAAGCTTCAAACCAATCACCTTCTGAATCTTCCCTTTGACCGACTACATGAAAGAAATCACCCTTTTGAAATGAGATTTCTACGATCCGTTTAGCTTTGTAATTTGAAATAGCTCTGATGACCATAGTAGGAGGACCGGTTGGAGCTCTTGAGTTAGGAATTGATTGAGACGAGATAGGTTTTGTGAGAGGAGGTGGAGGTGGATGTTGAGATGTTAAGATTGAAGCACCAAAAGATTGTTGAGAAGGAGAGAATGATTGTCTTGAGGGTGAACTTGATTTATCTTTTTCTTTGTGAAGTGACCTTCTGAGTACTTTCATGATGAATTAAATGATTTGATGATGTATGGTTGTAAGATAGTGTGATAGACTGTGATAGTGATAGTATGCTTTGATGGTTGATGGTTGATAGTGGATGGATGAATGGTGAATTTGAATTGGGTTTGGGTTTTGATTGAAAATGGAAATTGACGAATCGATTGATTGAAAGTTTTTCAGTTTTTTTCAGTTTTTCAGTCTCGACTCTTCAAACTTTCAATTCTAAATCGCAGTCAGAGTCACTCTTCATACTGATCCTCAGTTCACTTCGCTCAAGCTTTTATGTATTGTTTCATCAAACCATTCTCTCAATCAAACTCTTCATCACATTCATCATCACTTCTTTCAATCTCAATAAACATCAAAATCAATCCAGAACATATCCTACCTGATCCTTGTCCTCACACCCTACCCTCTTTTTCAATTCACTTTCCCTTTGATCATTATAATATATATCGTACAAACTTGGAAAGAAATTAAACCCCTCTTTTTCCTTTTTTATTTTTTTTTACATACACCACGGGGGGGCCTCGACCGTCTTGCGCCGGTCATTCACGACCGCCCGTGGACCAGCCTTCCCTCCGCAGGCATGGGCGGTCACTAGCTGGTCAGAATGGTGACGCCTGTAAGGCGACCATGAGGCGTCGATTCGGGCGTCTTGAAGCTGGAATTTTGGCACTGTTGCGGTGCCTGTGTGCGGACTGGGGGCGGCCAGAATGGCCCCAAGATCGCCATATGGCCGTTTTTGATGTTCACGTCAAAATAGAAAATAATGTGAAAGCAGGCTTCACAACGCCCAAAGACGGTCAATTAAACGGCCTGAAAGAGCCGTTTGGATCGCGATCCAAATCATTACAGCTGAGACTTGGGCATATAAGCCTGTGAATTTCGCAGCGGGGGAAGTTACAGAAAGAAAGACAACGGATGATAATATAGAAAATGTCTACAACTTTTAATCTAAAGGAATAAAACAAGTGTAGTCTTTGATTCCCCATTTGCCAATTAGTGGGCCCATTCACTCCAGGTTCTCCAAAGAACCTCCTGCTTGTTCAATACGTTTCATCATTTCCTGGATATCCTCCTCGGCAGGTAAATCAAATGTTACATCCGCAGCGATGTTCGCAAAGTACCCTTCGCCATCAAAGGTCGCGCGATCTTCATCGTAAATGAACTTGTAAAAGCTGAAGAGGAATTCATGATGAGCTAAATCTAACGGTTGTGATCAGTGCTTGAAGAACTTAACCTACGCAGAACTATATAAGGCACCTTGAACAGCCAAATGGTGAAGGTGTTGGTCCACTCGCGCCCAGATATTGCCTCCGGCTCCGCCTCGACGACGCTCTTGAAAGATGCGTAGGGCTTCTCGTCGCTGGTGGATTTTATGAACCAATCAGCTATCCGGTTTGTATTAGAACGTGGATTCAATTCAAACTGACAAGGTATGCGATACGGAGGCGGTGTTGAACGGTGCATTTGATCCAATAGGCTTCCTCATCTAGGCCATCAGCCGTTGTTCCACAATCTTGAGCGATCTACATACAGAGTCAAAACACAAGTTACTCAGGCAGGCCTCATTCATACCAAAAGCACGAAATATGGCAGCAAAAATTTACACGATGCACAAGACGTTTCATGCAGGGCACAGTGCTACCAGGGTTATTTTTGATGTTGAGCAACACCTGCGTAAGACAAGTCTCAGTGATTTGATGAGCCCAAGGTGTATGTACAAGAGAGTTGTACATGAAAGACAATTCGAATAAATGCAAGAAAGTGTCCCACTGACCAATTTATGCAACCGCTCTCGGGCGTGCTTCCCAGCGTCCTTAACTAAGGTCGCGTACGTTTGGGTGTCGGCGACGTTCTGGGCACCATTAACGACTGGAGGCAGTTGTTCGCTAGCCCAGCTGCCGGGGATAGCTTTGATTGCCCGCTGTGAATGCGGTTGTTTGAGAATCAATACTAAGGCTACACAACAAAAAAAATCATCTACCTCACCTTAATAGTTGCAAACAATGAATTGGGTAACACATCCCCATTTGGGTTGTGAAGTTTTGTATACGCGCCGATCGTTGGTAATGGAACCGATGCGTATGCCTCCGTATACACCCTACTCTGATAACCAAATATCAAATGCGGGGGCATCAGAAATAAGACACAGATAAGAAGACGTATGATGAAGAGCAGGACAGTGATTCCCTCACTTTCAGCTCAGGCGAGTAGGACCAGGGCCCGGTTCCGACAGCGGGGGCGTTCGCTGCAGCCGCCGCGCCAGGAGCAGAACCAGGAGGTCCACCACCATGGGTCGAGATGACATCAACGGACTCATTAACTTGGTCCAGCTTGTTGGACAAAGTTATGAAGTCCTCGGTGTGCTTGTTTGCCACCGAAGCAATTTGCTTGTCCACTTGACTGGCCAACTGACCGATGTCCTCGTCGATCTTGCTCGACATGTGCTCAATCTCTTGACGGAGCGTTTCAGACATCACAAGCATCTCTTTCTCTACCTTACCAGAAAGACTGGTAATCGCAGCCATGATGTGAGCCACATCGCCGTCGTTATTCTGGACGCGCCGATTGGGTGTTTGAGTTCTATCCGAGAAAGAACATTAAAGAAAACGGAAGGGAATCGCAAACTTACACCGTCATTGCCCCCTCGCACCGAGGTTTGCGAGCCTGTACCTCGTATGCTTCGCTGCTCGGCGCGGTTGGCAGAACCGCTGGGACCCACAAGGAGGGTTCCTGAAGGGAGTTGGATTAATCGTAGAATACGATACAAAGGAAGAAGAATAACGCAAAAAACGCCCGCTTACTGTTGCCCCTTGGTGTGGTCAACGAGTACGGTTGCGTGCGGTTGCTTTGAGAGGCGATTTGAGCTGTGATGTTATCGATACGGCCGGTTTGAGATGACATGATTTGACTGAGAGGGCTTTGACGAAATGAACGAGTATTATGAAGAGGTTTTAAGATGAGGATGGTGAGGTTAAGGCAGAGTTTTGATTCAGATTGAACGAAGAGGCGAAACAGATGAAAGAGAAACGAGTGTGCTGATTGGTCGTCGGGTCCAATCACTTCCCTGGCGTGTTTGCAACCACGCGAACGCGCGACTGGCGCGATTTGGTCCACGCGGAATTTCCACGTTAGGAAATTTTCCTGGAAGTCGAGGAATGGGGAGAAGTGAAATGGGAGCATTACCATTTTAGGCACAAGGTCTCAGCAGATTTTTGATAAATTGCGAAAACTGGCGCAATGTTCAAAAATCTGCAGAGTCACTGGTGAGCTTCCGTTCGATTTTACCAAGTTTCATTTTAAATTGCAAAAATTGGTCAAGATACATGACATGTTAAAGAATCTTTCTTTTAATCAGCTGATGAATTGGTATCATCCAACTCCTGTTCTTCCATGCTTAAGGTTTCTTTACCTTTACCTTTCTTTGCTTGCGTCTTTTTACGTGGTTTGACAGGCACGGCCCGCCAAACCTTGAGTCCTTCTTTGAAAGCTGCCGCCCATTCCGCGGCGGAGACTGCGCAAGTTCCCAAATTAGCCACAGCTCGGTGCGTTTCGGCGGAGTAGTGGCTTCCGCTGTTCAAGATGAACCAGTCACTCTCAACGTGTCCAATTGTGCTGATTGTCGCGGTCGTGTCCCTTCTCTCAAGGCGTTTGTATGCCCCATCTGTGACTGCGCAATTGGAACGTTGGCAATTGTGTTGCACGTTCAATATGCAAGAAACGTCCTGAATCAACAATCAGTACCAGGCATTTGAAGAAAGCGGGCTGGATTTGCTTACCGTCACTTTTACCCACTTTTGGCGTGCCTTTCTTATGATCTCACGCATCCCATAAAAAGGAGAAATCCCACCGGGTTGGGTCTCCTGAAGTAGAATGACGGTTCTGTTTGCGGATTGACTGTCCGGCTTCCAGATTGCAACCACTTGAAATATTGCATTACCGTGGTGGAGCTGATTAAAAGGAAGTACTAAGACAGCAAGATCACATGATCCACCAGGCAGTCTGAGCGCACGCACCTTCACAAAGTCTTTTTTACCAAGGCTTTGATGGTTGATTAAAGTAACACTTTGATGTTCAATCCACGATACAGTCGGCGCTTCACTTGCAAGGTAATCGGGTACGTCATTGGACACCACTGCGCGAGCTGTCAGGGACAAAAGGTCAGAGAAAACAGACGGACTTATGAGTGGGAAGACAAAAACCTCACGACCAGCGGTAAACACGGCGGCTTGTTTCGCTTTGGGGTCAATTCCCATCGCCTTACATAATTCAGGCATCAAGGCAAGAAGCCTTCGCACTTGGGGTCCAGCGGCCACACGCGCTCCCAATTCCTTGTGAAAGAAAGTGTTACCGGAAAGGAGCGCGCGCATCATCTGATAACTATTGAAAGTGTTGGCGATATCACGCCCAGGTGCCATACGGTTGGAATGAACAGATGCGGCACGCAAAACGGCGTTGTAAGACTCGAACTTCTCGGTCATAAATAGGTTCGCCGGTCCAAAACGCTTGATGGAGTCCTTCAAGTGACACAACATATGGAATTTGGGCTTATTAACCCATTGAGCATTATGATGGATAAGGTGATTGAAAAAGAGTAAAATCGCAGATTCCATGGTTCGCAGGTAGTCTTCCATCCTAGTGATCTCGTGCTGAAAAACGAATGAACCTAAAAGACACAATGATTTCCATAACTCCCTTTTGTCAGGTGTCAAATATTCCAAAAAGACAAACGGGGCGGCCTGAAGGACGGTGTGAAAATCTTTGCCAACTAGGCTCTGATAATGGACAATGAGAGTGTTTGGTTGAATGGGTGCCATCTTCAGGCCTTTCGTGTTGAAAGCACGCCACCTAGCCGAAAGCTCGCGGTAGCGTTTGGATCCTTGCTTGATTATGCCAAATGACTTCATGGTGTCTCTGAACAAGTATTTGACAATCCCGAGCAGTACAACGTGCAAAGCTTTGACCGGAGTATCTTGGTGTCCATTGAATCCTATGGACACAAGAACAAACAAAAGGAAAAGGCGTCAACATCCAAAATGGCCATACACCACGTGCCAATGGCCACTGACCTCTGAGACGCAGCATGGGGTTAAACATTTGGGCACCCAGTTTTAGGTTCAAATCGTGGCATAACCGGGGGATGTCGCAAGTCTCCGGGGCGTCACCAACTAATTTGAGGAAATGATCGAGGACAGAATCGCGGAAACCGTGTTTGCGTGCTTCTGCCTCGACGGCAGTTTTGCTGTGAGGTTTCTGGGCCATTTCCCATAAGTGTGACGCTCTTGCTCGGGTGTCATCCCAATCGCGTTTTGGCAAAGAAAACTATCAAGATTCGTTGCGGCGCGAAGGTCATTGATTGACAAAAAAGTCTCAATCAGAGGTCATGGACGGACGCTGATAATATCTAAAGCTATGGAATCAGTGGGGGCAGAGCAGAGATAGCGGAGGGGCTGACCTGTTCGCCGTCTAAGTCCACACCGATAAAGTCCGAGACATACTGCTCGCTCTTTTTGTTGCACATATGCGTAACTTGTAAATCGCAAATTTGGCAGGGCGTCAACGTGTTGGCCGGATTGGTGGTATTGGTAACTTCGGCGTGCATGGGGCCATCGCCGAGGTGAAACAACACCACCACCATTGCAAGAACATCACGGCCGGTGACGTGGTCGTGCGCCAAAAAGCCGTGGGCACTGTGTTCGCTGGGAGGCATACAATGGTGAGCTTCCTCCTGCATGATTCGATGGAACACAATTCTAGAAGTTAATCACATAAACTTACTTAATATCGTCCACGATCTCATCGAGCAATTCCAGCGCAGATGCGCAGTTTGACGTAGCCAGGAAATGGATATTATATTCCTGGTTTGTCATATGGGGGGGTAGTCCGGCGAGTGTGAAAAATAGACTCATGTGCTTGTTCCAAGACTTGGACACATTCCCAGAGGTATTGTCCGAGTACAACGTCAGCGGGATGTGTTTGATCACAAGGCCGTTGGCTCGCAAGCGCCAAGGATTGGTGATTGGGAGTTGGGTCAGACCTTGGTCGCTCTCCTCTGCGGCCAGAGAGCAGCACAGTCAGACACATCACCAACGATTGGAGACAAATTGGAGTGAGAAGACGCACGATAAAAATATGGCTCCGCTGTTTTGCCCTTGGTAAAAATGATGTCTGGAGAGTGCTTCCAAAAGTCTTGCACCTCAATGGTTTCAAAATCTTCCGAATCAAAGGATTTCTCGGAGGGAATGAGGATTTGAATAACAGATGGCTGTCCTGGACATGGTCGCACAGACGTTGGGAAGCATTTCGCCATTGGGATTCCATTGACCTGAAAAAAATACGCCGGCACAACCACTCGCTGCGAAAACAGTTGCACTGGCTCATATATAAACCAGTGTTTCGCACGCGAGACTACCATTTGGACACGAAGGTCTTTGCTAAACCCTTCGCGCCATTTTTCCGATTGGGATAATCGGTTGATGGGTTCGTTGTTCGGTAATTCGGGAACACATACCAAGAACGGGCTGACTAAAGGATTGGCGAGTTCCTGTAAACCAGAGGAAGGATCAGACATCTGTCACACTGATAAGGAGCTGGATCACCCACATTTTTGATGATTGTCTCTACCTTTAAGCCAAAGAGCGGCTTGCCATGCGGGCTGGTATGTTCAGAGACAACAAGCCCGAGGTCCTTCTTGAGGCGAACACTTAACGCACGTAGCGCCCCCCATTCTGGCAGGTGGACGTCGCATATGATCAATATGGCACGAATACGATGGTATTGCGCCCGTGAAAGGATACTTCGAGTCGAACCGATGATCAATAACGCAGCAACGTGCTGTTGACTCAATCAAAGGAAAACATATGTTTGAATCAGTTCGATGTCAAGGTTTGCATCGATTCTGGCTGTGCACGTACCTCTTTCTTCTTGAAAGGGAACCACTCTTCAGAGTCCAAAAGCTGCCCCGTACGCAGATCAGCCACGAGGTTGGCCTCATCGTCAGCCTCGTTGTTTGGACCCCAGGCGTCGTCGTCCATTGCATGAATGGCTTCCAGAACCTTGTGGACGTCGATTTCCGTCTCTGAAGATTCCGAGTCGCTAGGTTGATTTTCTTTGGCGAGTTGAAAAGCGCGGAGGAATGAGAAAGGTGACGGAGGACGGCGTGTCGTGTCAGGTGCTGGCTCATCGTCACCAAGGATATCTTGCTGATGGGGGGTTGTGACGGGGGAGGGAGGCGGCTCGTCACTCAGGCTGGGGACAATTGCATTTTCGGCTGCTAAACAAGCCTCGTAGCGTTCAACAGCTGCGAGGTGAGACTGTGAGATAGAATGTGGCCCTATGTTGCCCATATGTTGTCCACAGACCAAACACTTCCACTTGGGATTGGAAGCCACCGTGGATATCATTTCGAAGTCTACAGTTAATAGCAATTCGGCGAAGTGGTATCAGAATTCACGCCATTTATACAATTAGTGACAGAGACCAACATTTGGGTGGATGATGGGCGCCTTGAGCCATTTTGGAACGAGAATTAGAATAAAAAAAGCTGAGAGCCGTACGTTGGTGGAACTTGAGGAGTTGCTGTAAATAAGAAAAATATGAAAGAGATTCAACTTTCTGAAAGCGAGTATTTCGACAATGTGGGACTGGGATGACTCGACAGGAACGGGAAATCAAGTGCAAAATGCTTCACAAAGGAAAGGCCAGTCGAACTGAGAGATCTCGAGGGATGCAGCTCAAGTGCCGTCAGGGTGATGAAAGGAATATGTTCGGGAGGAGATTAGGATGAAAGGAACTTTTTGCGGGATCCTTCCTCACGCTTCAGTGATATTGTAACACCTGCAAATGTGACCCTTTGGCGATCTCGAATTGGTCTTGAGGCAAAAAAGGGCTGGTGTGGTGTTAGCAAGGGTGACAAAGATCTGTGTGTTGTTGATGTGAGACGTCAACAGTGCAGAGAGCGTGGGGCTGGGGCTCCTTTCAGAGATCTTGGCTGTCCAATGCGGCTCAGGCTCAGCATCTGAATCGGTCTCCATCCGGAAATATTGTCATGCCACACTTGCGGCCTGACCATAATCTGCAACGTTGGTCGAGAGGCGGATCTTGATGAAGTCGGCCTTCATCTGGCGCTTGGCCGACATGCGTCGGCGTGATGGCCGCCTTGGATGTACATCGGGCGGTTGTACAGGGCAATTGGGCTGACCGCCTCGAGGCCAGCAAGAGGCTGTTCGCAGGCTATACGAGGACGGACCCGGGGCGGAATTGTGACTCGACCATTTGGAGGCGAGTTTCTGACACGAAGTCCCCCCGTGGTGTACATACATTCTGATCGGAATCTTTTGGACAGATATATACACATACATACTCACTCACTCAACAACTCCTTTAAAAACAATCAGACCCTAGCTTTGTCAAAACTTTGATTTCTTTGAAAGGCACACTTCTTCTGCTTTCATGATTTTAAATTCTAAAATTTACCTTGAATCTAGATCTCCTAGGTCCCTAAATACAACATACGAACAGATAAATCTTAAGCTATGTTCAAGAAGCTGGGTTTAAACTGACTTGAACCCCCTGGAAGATCAATCTTAAAGGTCTCTTATAAAAGTTAAAAAGGTTCATTTAGGGGAAACTCAACGTGAAGTCCCCTTTCAAGACCTCCAATTTAGGAACTTACAAACCACTTCAATCAGTATCCTTGTCTGAGAAGTAACAAACTCCTCTCTCCCTTGCAAGGCTTTGAGTGCAGAAACTTATTTTGGATTCCAAGCATGGCATTTATTGGGACATATGACCCAAACCAGTCTTGTATCATAATAGTTTTTCTTTCTTGGCTTCTTTTCCCTACTCCAAAAATAAAAAGACATCTGTGCACTCAGTGCCTCTACAATCTACAATTACCCACCCATCTATATCTGAAATACAAGATGAAATAAACCCAATAGTTATTCCAGGCTGAGATTCCCTAGCTCATCAGGACCAGTCTCAGACATGACTGTGGAAGAGAAGAATCAACTTTTGGGTGGGCAAAACCCACAATGACATGATCTTGCTCGTGAAATCTTAAGTGCATCACATCTTCTTAGTCCTGGTGTTCAGCCCCAAATGGTTTTCCACTTATATCAATCACCTCTGAGACTGAGGTGTTTAAAGAGTTGAAGGCTGTAGAGGGAGTAAGAACACAAATCTTTCATCTTTTGTAAAGTTTAATAACCAAGAGCTGGTTTTGTCAAACTTCCACAATTTCATGAGCCCTGAAGATCAACATATCACATATACCTTTACTGAGTACTATACTATATCAGCCTGGAAGAGCAGATGGGATACTCCTAATGTAGCAATCCATCATATCTACTACAAGTATAATTTTTTCTTTGATTGTCAAGCCAATCACACCAGCAGTAAGGTCATCAAACAGAGCATTTAGTTGTACCATGATTCTCATGGACTGTCTCAGCATAAAAAGCCTAGACTCACATGCTATAATTATCACCAGGAATCTTCAACATATAACCACAAGTATATCAAGTTTCAATTTTGAATGGTGGTAATACCTATTCACAAGAAACACAGCAAAACATAAAAACAATTGTGCAGGAAATGAAAACCCCATTGCATTGCTTCAGTACACTTTGGTGTGACTGTAATCTCCTTTATAAAGTTGACATTTTGTACCTCAGGTTTTCAATTGTACCAATCAACAAAAAAAATGTTGATCATTGCAATGACATTGCAAAAATGACATTCCAAAATCTGACATAATCACCTCAATGTCATGGTAAAGCCAAGTGTTGAAGGTGCATGAAGTGCTTGTTATTCCAACCACACACTTGGTTTGTTTCAAAATCAAAGTACCTCATAAAAGCAATAACATCAGTAGCATACATAGCAGCCTCATTGAAAGTGGGTGCACAGACACACAACATGTTTCCTACTATCCTCAGTATCCTGCATACCTTGACGGTGCCACTGGGGTAGGTTTTTTGAAATGAAGAGAAAAAGATACCCTCATTTCTTCATGGCATTGAAATTTTATGCAAATTTTCATCTGCATTATCTCATTTTGCTGTGGCTTACTGCAATGAAACATGTGGTCATTGTGGTTTCCCCTCTGAACAGTGCATCACACCAAAGTTCACAAAATATTTTGCTGGTCTACATGCACTGACAGTGAACATGCAAGCAAGTTGATCTACCTTATGAAAACCCATGTAATGGCCAATACAAGCAACATGTATCATACACTACACCAAATGTCATCTTTACCGGGCGGTAAAGAAAACTACTGACATAGAAAAGTCCTGAGGGAACAGGAAGAGAGCTAAAAATCTGAAAAAATATGCACCTTGTTCCTAGATGTTGGGGCGTCATGATGAGTATTTTTTTGTATTTTACACGCAGATCTTGGTTGATGTACTAACAATAAACGCTGAAAATCAACAAAAACTCACATGTAACAATACCTGAAATTTGGGTCATGAGTATAGGGGTTCTCAAAGTAGGCCCGGTTTGTAAAAACCCAGTTGACCCAGTTGACTTTTTGGCTGTGATCTGTCAACAAATGTCAACTCGATACACAAGGTTACTGCCAAAAAGCAACCGGGTCAACTGGGTTTTCTTGAAACCGGGCCAACTTTGCGAACCCCTTATGAAGACAATATTTTGTGGTCTAAAAACTTCAATAACTTTTGCAATTCTGCTCCAAATAACTCAATTTTTGGTTCATTCAAAAGCTAAACTATTCTCCTTCACACTTCATAATGTTAGTAAGGTGCTATCTAGTCATTTAAACACTCTACATATGTTCAAACAGTTCTGCATGAATAGCTCTGTAGGATCTTTTTTAGACCAGCTACAGATGTGATGTCTCAATGAAAAATGTAGAGGAAAGGCTCACCTTTTTAATGCACTTCAAATCGAGTGATTTGATTCAGAAATGCAAAAGTTATTGATGTTTGAAGATTCCAAAATCCTGTCTTCAAAGTCAAGGGCCAAATTTCAGGTATTGTTACAGGTGGGTTTTTGATGATTCTCAGCCTTTATTGTTAGAGCATCCACTATGGGTGCGTTAACGACGCGATTTAGCGTTACCGTAACACTAAAATCCAGACAGGTCCACTATGGACCTGTTTTAGACATGCGGTCCGTACGACCGCGTCAAGTCTTGCAGTCCGCTTGTTCAAATCTACGAAAGCCTACGACTTGATTTATCGTAAACTTTTGGCGCATCCAAACGGTCAACAGCCATCCAATGATCTATCTCCCATCCAGCTCTGCACTCACCACCTTCACTCAAAACCTTCCCTCTTCCCTCGAACCCTCAGCTTGTTGATAGTAGCTGTTTACTCCGGATTTGCTAAAAAAAGCACCTTTGTTCAAAAGAAGTCATCTCGCGCGATCGATGTCACCAAGATCAAACAAGAGGTGAGAAAGCTCTTTGCTGATTGTCAAAACCTGAAGGCATCAATTTGGTTCTTTCTGGTCACCAAGGTAGTCATCAGCATAGGCTGGGTGAGGTGTGGTAAGATACTTTAATTCGAGTCTCGACTTTGCCATAGCGTGTATAGTGTTCTAAGAACAGATTATCGTAGTTAAATCCTATGTTACATCATCCCATAGTGGATTTCATGCGGTTAACAACTTAGCTACAACACGCATGATTAAATTTTGCAATCAGGACCGCAAAATTTACGATAAAACACCCTCAACATAGTGGATGCTCTTAGTACATTAACCAATATGTGTGTAAAATACAAAAAAATACTCGTCATGACGCCCCAACATCTAGGAACAAGGTGCATATTTTTTCAGATTTTTAGCTCTCTTCCTGTTGCCTCAGGACTTTTCTATGTCAGTAGTTTTCTTTACCGCCCGGTAAAGATGACATTTTGTGTAGTGATAACATGTCCTCTATCACAGCCTTTACTTGTCAGGTGATCCTCATTGACTGTTTCAGTACACTGATCAAGAGTGCAGCATTGAGAGATAAGAATACTCACATCCCTTCCAAAACAAATCATAGAGGATTTCATGTTTCAATCCAGCAGTTAAATTGTCTTGGCAGTCAATGCTTCTGATGAAACCTTATTTTGTCTTTTCCAATCAAGGTGGAAATGGCATCTATAATAAGTTGTACTCTAACACATCCTTTACTTATCAGACAATGTCCACAGACTTCTCTGTATTCCTGGCAAGATCACAGCACTGATAAGGATGATTCCAGTCTTCAAAGAAAAGTCATGATGTGGTTCTATTATTATATTAATTGTATCCAAATGAACATGATAAGCTTACTTGTCTATGACAGTGTATTTATCTATACATTCAATAGCACCAATATTGATACCAAGTATAATCTGAAACCTCTCTATAGATTTCCCAAAGTTCAGTTTCTTATTCTAAGAAATCATCTGGCTATATATTACCTGGAACATGTACTCATTTTCTGACCATTTCCTTGACATGTTTTCACTGAAATTGAGAAGACTCATGATGAAGACTTACCAAATTGGAGATTTTTTTTGCATATAATTAGGGATGTTTGATTGTTTTGGATTCAATTGTTCTTGCCAGATTTGATGCTGAGAATCTTTGATTGTGATTTGGTGATCCTGAGGAAAGTTAGTTCCAATACATGTTTCTAATAACAAAAAATGGTCATGATTGGATACATAGAATCCCCAACATCTTGGTTCCTGGGTACCATGAAGAAAAGGCTTTGAATCTAGTTAAAGATCTCTATAAATCATCAGATGACCCTTCAATCCATTTAGTGTTAAGTGACTAAATAATTCTTGTCCTAATTCTACAGATCCTACACATACTTAGACACCTGTCAGTATTTTTGGAAGCATTGTTACAGAGGAGTGATTTTCTAGTCAAAGGTATAAATTGAATTACCTATTTTATTACACCAGAGAAAACTAACAACTTGAACAGCCATGGGACCCAAAACATGAAGAGTTCTAGCTTTGAACATATTGATAGATGAAGCATTGGCGATGTACATTTTGAGCTCAATGTGAGAGATGAAATTAATAGGAGACATGTTGAAGAAAATTTGTGACACAATGTCGAATTTGATAGGTCATGAGTTGTAGAACAGAGTCAGATGTGATTAGTCATCTTATTCCCTCAAAGCGATGTCCTTTCATATGCTGAATTATTATGTGGACTAGCAAGTGTTGCACTATACAATTGATTGAACAGCAACCAAATACAATGAACAATAAGCAGAAGATGATTTTCATAGAAGGACTCATTGGTTGAACTGAGAAATTGAGGAATTGAAAAACAAGATACCTACACTTGTTCATCAACTGTGGTGGAATAGGCTTTTTTCACTGGCCTGTGTTGGAACAATGGCAACTACAGCCACGTATAAGCAAAAGCAACAAAAGACAATGAATGATAAGGAAAAGTCACTTTTGTGGAGCACAATTCTTTGAACTCGGAATCATAGGAACTTGAATAAGTGCATTGGTAGAGGATGCATTAAACCAATATCAAAAGTTTGTGTTCACAACATTGACCAGTTGTTTGAACAACATTGAACAACATTGATCAAAAACCTTGATCAACATTGAACAACAATGACACAGAGATGATTCATGCATGTGCCACAAATTGGACACGCCAAATATTGGACCTACTATTTAATAGGATAGACAAATAAAGAAACTGAGCAAACAAAAAGGTTTTTAGTTTATTTTGGTATGAAATTTGAAAGTAAATCAATACTGTCGTTCTCGAAAAGCTTGTCCGGGTTTTCCCGCAAAACTCGAGCAATTTGGCGGGAAAACTTGGACAAGCTGTTCGAGAACGACAGTACGTTTCCTCAAGTTAAAGGACCAACAACTCAACTGTAGAGGATAAGAACCAAGAATGGTTCATGTGAGTAACTCCTATCTTTTTAATATTTAAATTTTAGTACATTACAATCTGTTACAAAAAACACACTCTCCCAAACAAACAAAAAACATACTACTGATATTTCATACATGTCCAAATAGGATTTTTTTGGACGTAAAAGACGAATTGAACAAATTCCAGATTACAATCATAAAGAAAACACAAAAAAACATCCTACAAAGTAAAATATACTGAAAACTTAAGCAAACAAAATAAGACGATTGAGTACGTCAGAGGTTAGGAATGATTTTTTTTTCTGTTGATGAGTTGTTTTTGTGGTGAGGAGGGATGTTGAGATGTAAGGAACGATAAAAAATTTTAAGAGTATCAGAAGAGTACTGTTCTTTTTTGACAACGAGAAGATGTTCAATCACTTGAAGTTGATCATGAAATCATCGAATCCAATAAAGTATTGATCAACTTATAAACAAATCAACCCCTATAAGCCTTACCAAATCTCTTCAATGAATCTAAAATCAAAATCAACACCAATCATCAGCAAAAGGCCAATAGATGAACATGTGTATCACCAATCGATTCGGTCGAATGAAAACTTGACTCACATTACCAGCCCCTCCTCGACCTGTACTATGAGCCGAATTCTTGGTTCGTTCATCATAAGCTTCTTCAATCCTACGATCTTCTTCATCTAGTTGTTTTAATTTCTCAGCTTGTTCTGCTCTTTGACTAGCATCTCTAAAACCAAAATCGACATCACAAAAAAGAAAATCGTCAGATCAAGTTTCAGTTGAGGTAAGAAGAGTAAAAAGTAAACGAACCGACTTGGACTACGTATGTTACCTGCACCACCACGGCCATGTGATCTGGGTGAAAGGACTCGTTTGTTTCTTTCTTCATTTGTTACCAAATCTTCTTCGATTGAAAGTTCATTTGGATCGATTGGAACACCCGATTTCACTAGGTTTCCAGCCCCACCTCTACCAGTTGTAAAGATCTGTTGATGAGCTGTTCGACCTCTATCTTCTGATAAATCACGACAAGCTGAACAAAGAAAAATGAAAAATATGAGAATGGTTTTTTTGTTGAGGTAGAGTTTCGGATGGTGATGTGAGTCAAAAGTATCGAGACTTAACTGCTAGTTGGACTATGAGAAGTATCAATGGCAGGCGGAGAATGAGAATTATAATGACGACTAGGACTAATAGCGTTTCTAACTTTTGCAACAAAACCGGTCATCTTGATGTGAAGAGAAATGAGTTGATGGAGTGATTAGTTTCAGAGATGATTCGTTGAAGTTGAAGAAGTGGTTTGGTTTTGAGGAGTTGTGTTTGTAGAGTAAGTATTTTCAATTTGGATGATGTTGGAAGTGGATTTGTATAAGAAAAGGTTCAAATCCGTGAATTGTATATTTGGTCGATTCTCATAGCATATCACGTCATTTTGGTCTGCTGATTGATCGGAGTTGGTCTGGCAATGGCATGACCATGTGACCATTTTGGATCCATCGAAGCCACTCACACTCAGTCTCTACTCTCTACCCATCAAATGATCACACATCCAACGATACATGTAGACCGATATTACATAAAAGTTCATAACACAGCTTACTAATCAGCAGTCAATTGTGCCGAAGCGGAGATCCGATTGGGAAGAAGATTAGGTGCAGAATCGAAAATAATGAATACAATCCTATACAATCGCTTAATGAGAAATTGGGAATCTTCAACCGTGAAGGTCATCATGCTCGAAGGCTGTAAAGCCAAGCCGCCAGCAAGGTCGATAACCAAGTTTGGAATCCAAATCTACAACTTTTCCTCTTGGCCGCATACATATCACCCATTCATCTCTTCAAAATCAAATACGAGAATGCTGTGTGATGAGTTTACCTACTTGAAGGTTAGATTCCGATTAGAAGTTCCTACTCAAGAATTCAACCAGATCGAATGACACCTTATCCACCTCCTTGGCAACTCGAAAATTACACGCAATCATTTACTTGGTACATGGGAATATGCGATGAACTCCAACTCCGCAAAAGGAGCCGACGCGAACCATACATATGCATACGCATGCATTCAGCAATCAGAGGTAGGAGATTATTTTCATGACCAGGTGTCTGAGCGGTCTACATTGAAACATACTTGGCTATGCACGCAGACCGGTGTCAATCATGTATCAACAGAAATCCACTGAATGATGACATTGCTTTGAGTGTGACCCAACCAAAACCAACATATCACAAACAAACTGATCAGTGACTGCCAATCGAAGCATATCTTCCTGATAAGTTTTGATGCAGCAGGCTCAGCACAGCCTTCTTGAAGTGTTTTCTCGGATGTCTGCATATCTTCCTTACAACAACACCGCAATCGCTCCGCAACGCTATGGATTCTGGGCCGTCTCCATTGCGTTGCGGAGTCAGCGCTACATTTCGCTTTGCACTGCGATCGCTATAAGTCACGATTTTCTCCTCTCGGCCTTGCGGAGCGAAATAAACGCTATATTTTCGCTATATAGCGTGTTATAGCGGAAATCACTATACAGCGTGCTATGTAGCAATTCAATTTGTAATGCATCTTGCTAATTAATGCTGAAATGCCTGTTTGATGGCATTGAGGATTGGATTTAAAATCCTTGTTTGGATTTCTTTTTGTAATCGGAGCACAATTGTAATTTGTATCGAGCAAATTCGAAATTTCTTGAATGGCATTAGAATACTCTCTCATCAAATTTGTTATCGATTCAATTACTGTCTCTTTCATAAAGAATGAAAAAGTTTCAAAAAGTTACGGGCCTTGAGGCCCGTGCGCGAGGCGGATGTCGGCGGGTACAGTGAAGCCCTGTACCGCCTTTATTGCCTGTAATTTGGATACAGAGATCCACCATCCGCCTCTACTAATGATTGATCTACTGTCCACCACGATAACAGAAGATTGCTGAATCCCTTCCTCCAATCCTCCACGGCCCCATTTCCGGTCCTGCCTGCCCAAATGGGGGTCCAATATCCATTAGGTTTCCCGGTCAAATCGCCATCTGGATCCCAATTCATCTCTAATCGACTTCAATCAACATTGTCAAGAACAGCTTCCTTTGATCGTTTCATCACCTTCTGCCTTCACTCCAACACCATGTTCAAATCCAATTCATTAGCTCAAATCGCCGCCGATGACACGCCCATTGGCGAGAGGCCTTACCCAAGCCCTCCTCAGTGAGTTGACTTGGATTTTGTCATCTTTGTTTGGTTCGTTTTCGATTTACTGATCGATATCTTTATTCATGATAGGGTTATCATACCCCACGTTAGAGCCTACCCTGTCGCTCCAAAAGAAGCCACTCCTGCCTTATCAGACGTGACTCCAGAGTCCCCGGGCTCCTGGGAAATCACGGGCTCACCTCGTGATCCCCCATCGCCTCCCATCGAGATCAAAAATAGTCAGTTTCCTCTGCCACATCCTCAATTAATAATTTCTGATCGCTTTGGTGAATTACATATAGGTATCACAAAGCCTTTTGGGGAACGCGATGCCAGCTCCGAGATCGAGATCATCAGTTCCAACCTACCTCCTAAACGTCGAATCGTATCACGAGATGTCAAACCCAGTGAGTACTCATAATCCGTTTGGACCAATTTGAATGGCCCGCTGACATGGTGGCAACTGCATGATTTTGCAATAGGTATGCCTCCAACGGGCACTCGAGGTCTTGTGGTCAGTTTCACCTTGTACCTGCCGAAGGGTCATGACCTTTCTAAGGGTCCGCCCAAGAAAAGCAGCAAACCCGTCTATCAGCCGATTCCGCTCCCAGTCACCACGCAGACCTTCCAGATCGACAATCATTCTCTCCCTGCGTTGAAGGAATTTTTGTTTGATTTGGCCAGCAAGGTTGACAACGATACCTCGCATGGCAACACTGCAATCCTCAAACTTGCCGACACCGGCAAGAAGGTCAAGATCTTTGCTTTCATAGCCCGGCACCACTTTTATGCCAAGGATCACAACCGCCTCATTACCAGCGACGAGGTGCTGAAATCTTTCTATTCAGCCCTCCCCCACAATCCGGTTGGAAATTGTGGCTTCTCGGTCACTATGGAGAATCCGACCAAAGCGGCCCAAGCCGCCAGCGCGGTAAGTCGCCCTTCGCTTGACTTCTTTGTAGCTTTGTACCTAGACTGACCTTTCAATGATTAGGAACTTACCAAGAGCCAAGGTCGCATGCGTGCGCAACACACCTTGGCTAGTGGAACTACAACCACGACTTCCGATGTGGCCCATTCGGCACCTATCGCGCCTGAAAAACAATATCTTACCGCTTTGCAAAACCGTCACGGCTCCCTCCGCACCAACAAGGGCGACGGCTGGCAAATCTTCAACACTAAGGATCTTACTCAGAAGATGGAATTGACTACCGTCACATGGTCCTTTGGGCTGAAGAATTGGTAAGCCTTTCTGTGTCGACCGTTTCTTTTTTTTCCCGCGTGACCTGATGTCATATGGTTCATCAGGCCAAGGAAACCCCAGATGTCACCATCGACGTCCCTCCGATCAAGGTCTATCCACAGGACTTCATCTGGCTTGATGTCCTTCAAAAGCGACCTACTTCTACAGCCTGCACTACGCCCATGTCCACCACGCCAATCGCCTCGGTCAAGCGGGTCAAGGTCGAAGAGGGGCTCATCTTCCCCCTCGGCAGCTATGCTGAAATGCAAGGGCACTCCATCAACATTGATTACAAGACAATACGGCGTATTCACTGGTGTGCTACCATGAAAGAGTATCTTCAATGGTGTGATATCGAAGAATCAAACATTGACCATGACGTCAAGATCTTATTAACGCACGGTATCCAGAGCTTCCGTCGCTTTTTATTTCCCGATGTCTTAGAAGCGAAGACTATAGCCTCATGGGGGATTCTCTGGGACACCGCAATGGAATTGATCGCCCGAGCTCGCGAGTTCTATGTGTACCAAGTGGCACTTGAGCAACAAAAACTCAACAGTCAAAGGATTTATGATGACGACATGGAATTGTTACGCCAAAGCGAATTGCGTAACAACCCTGTATCTCATTAGATTACTATCCCCTTTACCTAAATTTGTCTAGTCTTGAACGATCAACTCTTAGCTGTATGATTGATGTTCCGTTTGATTGAAAGTAAAACATCCCCACTCAATTTCATTTTGAAATACTGAAAGATCCACTGTGCCCTACCATTGCCACCTGAGAGCTTGCCACCTTGCCAATCCATTCTCATAATGACTTGTCATGTGCACAAGTCATTCAAGACTTGTTGTGTCATATCATTTCAAGATCTTCATGTCGAGTGGAAGACCCCAAAGTCTTCTTTCTCACATGTCTGATTTGTCTTACGTACGACCGACTGAGTATCTAAAACAAACTTATGTTCTCAATACGTTTTGGACTGTGTGTCTCAGTCCCAAGTCAATTCAAATTGGGTCAACAAGCTCATAATAGAATGGATTGCTAAGAGCTAAGAATAACATCAAACTGAACAGTATTGTTTCCGTGAAGTTCTCACAACAAGCATACAAGCATAGGATAGAGAGTGGAAAAACCAGGACAGAGAGAGACAGTACAGAATCAACGGTCGCACAGATTTCTTTTGGAAACCTTACAAAGTCAATAAAGCAATAGTAATTTTATATGTGTGTGAGCCATCGTCACAGCGACCATATTTCAAGCTTGAACATGACCACAAAACCCCCGCGAGAAGCGATAACTACTCCTGACCTTGAAGGTTGTATTCTTCCCAGTAGCGGTTTGTGGCGTATCCACAGTAGGCGAAGAGGGGTTGTAATAAAGCGCGGGTGAAAACCGTTCCAGCCAGTAACAACAGATAGCGTGCCTTGTCTTCGTGTTCAAACCACGCCTCTTCACGACGCAATCGGGCCTTCATACTGTGAAAACAATTTTCAATTGGGTTCATGTCGGGTGAATACGCCGGTAAGTAAACCAATAGGACCCCAGCATCTTTGCAAAGCTGGTCAATGAGACCCCCGTGATGGACGCGGGCGTTGTCCAAGATGAGAACAGAATTGACTCCCGGGTATTGGTTCATCACCGGGAGCTAAACAAAGAAACAAGCGAATGGGGGAAGGAACAATATGAGTAACTGATGGGAAGAGTGGCATCAACTGTACTCACTAAGTCTCGAGCAAGGAACAATTCCACGTGAACTCGCTCGACCGGCCCTTGAATTACCACACCCGCGATCATACCACGCTCCGATACAGCCGGAAGAACAGTCCAGTGGTCTTTATCAGTCTGGTCGATCTGGCGCCGGCTTTGAGTTCCTTTGGTCGCCCAGCTCTTCCTGCGAAGGGTGTCCTGCCCAACGACTCCGGATTCATCTGATTACACGAGTTTGAGCGGTTAGTAAGATGACGAAACAGAAGCCATAGAATGCAAGATATACTGACCTATGAAAACCAAGTATTCAGGTGGAATTCTAGCCACCCTGAACATATAATCTGTTCTATCCTCAGCGGACTGTGCAGCATGGACTCGCCGAGTTACCACATGGGAGAGTCCTAATCGGGTATGCAACTCGCGGCTGAGCGTGGCTTGAGATATAGGGATTCCGATGATCTGCACAAGTTGGCGTTGGAGTTCGTCAAGGTAGATGGAAGGGTTATCGTTGACTAGCTCATTGAGGACGGCGAAGTGAACATCAGATAAGACATGACGGCGGCCTCGTGTTTGGTAATTTTGAGGGTCGATAACAACTTTGTTGGTACGCTCGTAGAGCCGTTTCCAACGCCAAAGCGAAGTGGCTGAAATCGATGTGCGAAGAGTAGCATTGATCATCTGAAGGTCGACGTTGTCCATCGCCATTCGGGTGGCGAGGAGCTTGATGTCCTCCGAATAGCTCTGGAAAACCATATGGCTGCCCGGTGAATCGTGAGAATGTGGAATGGAGTGGGCGGATGGAAGGAAGGGATGGAGATGAGGTTGGCGGTGTTTTGGGGTTCGTTCTCCTTGAGGCCTTTGTGGACGGTACCCGAAGCTGCCAGAAGGGTTGGGTATCCCATGGGTATGGACATGGGAACTTTGTCGAACTGTGGCACTCAGTATCCGCCTGGCATACGCCTCGCGCACGGGCCTCAAGGCCCGTAACTTTTTGAAACTTTTTCATTCTTTATGAAAGAGACAGTAAATTTGAAATCAGTTTAGAGGTTTTTATATCTGAAGCTGTATTTGAAGTTTGTGAAGCGTTAAAGAGACTAAATCTTATTCCCATATTCAGATGTTGATCTTGATCAATTTATTAACACCAAAAGCAGAAAACAATTCATCAGTTGTAACATTTAGGATTTCTTGAAGATTCTTAGCCACCAATCTAATCAACAATTGGCCATGACTCAAACCTAGCCGTATCTGAATCATTAATCAAGATCGGATTCAATCGTTCAAGATTTAAAGTCTTCAATCCCTGCAAAACCCGATGTTTAGATCTTTCAAATGATGAATCGCTCAAAGAGTTAAGATTGTTTCAGGTGTGTAGTATGATTTGATTATAAGTCGTATGTGTATGTCATGAAGAAAAGAATTCATGAAATGATCTTAATGATCTGGGATGTGAACTTGTAAAAGTTTGATAGATAATATTCGAACCTGTAAAAACAAAAATCAAAGGTTGACTGTTTTGGATTGGTCATGGGATTAGAGAATGAGGTTTTGATTGATTATTTAGCTTCAGAAGATGGATCAAAACCTTTAGTTAGGTTTAGATCAATAGTTATGAAGCTGATCTAGATGGTGTGGGTACTAAACCTAGCAAAGTCCCTCTTGGCAAGCGAGCGTGCAAGAGAGAGTGCGGGTACAGGTTGTTGCTCCGCTATATAGCGGAGCAATCACAGCCTCGTCTCGTTGTGGAGTGGTTTTTACCGCTACGAGGTTTCTGAACCTCGGATTGCGGAGTGCAGTCACCACTACATATAGTGGTGACATAGCGGCATCAAAAATCGCTCCGCAACCGCTCCGCAACCACAATTTTGAGCGGAGCGGTTGCGGTAGTGCTTACAATTCACATTTCAGTATAGAATAATGCCTCAATCAATGGTCTAGAGAGTTGTGTCTGTCTCTCCTCAACTTCTTACTACCATCTCAAAAGAGACCTGACCCATAAATATCTGTCTCTGAAAGGAATGACTTCCGGCTCTTAATTTTTTGATGTTTACAATCCAAAGCGAAAAAACACAGGGCTCTTCAAACTTTTCTGTTGACTATCAACATGGTTGTTGTAATTTGATCACCGAAATCTTCAGAGAGATGTGGTGTACCTTCTCCTTGACTGTCAAAAAAATAATCTCCACCTGTGAAAATCTTCCTGCCGTTTATGCATTACCAGTGGGGTCATTGGTTGTGTGAAAATACTGCAACCTTTACCCGCACATCCATGTATATTTGCCATGATGGCAAGAGTCAGATTGAAGATCTGAACAGGCCTCAATGTAGCATTCAAAACTTGATATATAATGATCAATAGACAACAAAACAATTGCAATAGATGCTTCATTTGACAAGGATGATCCTCTGGCTTTGGGACTCGGAGTAGGAGAAATTAAATGGTACTTAAAGTATAATTGTAAAGAACATGAGTTGACAGAGGCTGAAATGGTAAGTCAAACATTTATGAGAGAGAGTATTGGGTCCATTTGATGACCAGTGACATTATTGTTCAGCATCTGTATGATAAGCATATCAAGAATACAAATTGTTGCTCTAACTCCAGCAATACATGCTGCATCCCAGGAGCAGCATGTTCACTTGAAGTTTCTTGTGCGGAAGTCTTGGTATCAATCTCTTGGATATGTGATTTATAGGGCACAGGTGCATCAAAACCAACATCTCAGTCACTGTCAACCACGGCTGTCACAGAAGCCAGTAAGGTCTTGTCATCCTTGAAGCTTTTTCACACTGCAGTGAGGTTTTTTTGCGGGCCCTGATTGCTGCAGCCTTACCGATTTGATTCATTGAAGCCACTTGATCTTATACATGCAAAGTTTATCTCAGGCAGGTAAGTAGCTAGCAAGTTGTGATGTTGAAATCTTATGTCAAACTATGGAGAAGAAGCAATTGAGTGGCCACTTGAGAATATAAATGCAAAGGTCCAACATCAACATTCAGACAAAAGGTTGCAGACCCAAGCCACCACTGTTGATAAAAAAAGTCTTGATCCAAGTTTTGATAAGAATAAATTTCTGCAGCTGTTCTTCTTGGCCACATGATGAATTCAATGTTTGTAGAAATCATGAAATGTTGGGTCATTTTTTCTGTCCAATGAAACCTGATTGAAGGTTACATCATGATTGGAACTTTCTTTTGAAGGATCCAACAAGACCACATGATGCTCCAACAATCTGCTTGGCCACTTGAAATTTCTGCTCAAAATTTAACCAACCACACATAATGAATTGCTCAGCTGAACTCTTCATACAGAAAAATTCCATCTGCTTACATTTGCTTGAATCTGGATGTAGAGAGTCAACAAACTATTTTTAGGATGTTTTAAATGGTAGAATTGATTTACAACTTTTTCAAAGTAACAAAAAAAGAAGCAAGATGTTTTTGCATTTAACAGCAGTCATCCTAATTCTTAGACTTTCAAGCCAGGCTTCATTCCTGGTACAATACTATCATTCATGGTGGGTTTCATCTAGATTCAATTCCATACTCATAACAACCCTGAAATGAGATGAGGACAAAACTCATTCCAAACCTGTTTTTTCACACAGCAATCAAGGATGGAGAGGCAAAATAATCCCATTTCTACTAGTCTCATCAATGGAACTTAGCTGGGGTCCTGGCAATTGGATTGCAGTTTTGGAGAAAATAATTTGTGTCAACGTACTGGTTTTTACCTCAGAATGCAAGCCCCTGCTGCTCCATCCAAGGACAAATGCAAAAATCTGCAATTTGGCATCCCATCTAACAGATATACAGCAAGTTTTAATGCTCCTGTTCACCATATACTCAACTTCTGAGGTAGAAGAAAGGAAAACATTTATACAATGGTTAATTTTTCTTGTACCTTGCAGGTTTCTGTTTAATTGAAAAAAAATGAGCCAATAGGTGTAATTCAAAGTAAAAACACATCAAAATCTTCATTCAATTATATAAACATCATGCTTGTAAAACAGTGGTGGTAGTGGTGAAAGTAAGTGAGATTCCATGTTTGACAGAATTTTTTGGACAGATTTCCAATGAGATTTGATTACTGGCTTAAGAAGCTGAGATAGTAATTGGTTTGATTCATAATTTAACGTGACTTGAATGTTAAGTTGAAAGTGTTGTGTTTTGATGGATCAAAGGTGAAGAGGCTTCTGAATTTGATTTGGATGAAGGAACTTGAACCCAAGATATGTAGCGCTATGTAGCGTAAGCGTTATGTGTCTGTATATCACATGCTACCATGACACATTTCACATGTGACAGGCATGTCAGGTAGGCTTACACACGCGTCATGACGTACCGAGTCCGACCCCCGATTCGAGCATAATTTACTTCTGAGGAGTCCACAACAGCGTCGCAAGCCAAAGGTAAACCCTCTAGAACACAACTTCACCGCATTCAAACAACATGGTTCGTGATCAAAACTCTCTACATTAGAAATGAATCAAGCTAACAATCGTTTAATCAAACTCAGAGTTCTTATAGAATTGTTCCAACTACTCAACCAACAGGTAGTCAACCGGCTCCAGGTGAAACTAGAGAAGGATGGGCCAGTGCCTCACACTCTCTAGCACCTCGACATCCATTAGAAAACAGGCTAGCTGAGGTTCATTCAATTCACGTCTGCTCATCAGTCTTGATTCGAAGATCATTGATGTCTGTCTCGTGATATGATGGTTTTTGAAGTGGAATGAAACTCGAGACAACTTTCAACTTACTATGCAACGTGATCTTTATGGAATGGGCGCTCCTCTCAGGTTAATGATGGAACGTGACCTCGTAAGACAAAATGTGAGTTGAATGAATAAAGCTGACTATACACGTATTCAACAATATACTAACTTGCACTCGAATTTGAATTTGTGAATCACGATCCTTTTGTAGACGATCGCCTTGCCAGGACGAGTCCAACCATCAAATATTCATCTCGATATCTTGATGGGTCGAGATGAAACTATCAATGAATCTGATATGTTTCTACCAAGTCTGTACCCCATCCTACTGTTGAAAAATCAAATTGGTTTGTACTATAAACTGATCGATCTCATTTTGTTGACATGTGTAAATGTCAATGTTTTCTTCTTGAACTTGGCCAGACTTAGAAAATGGTCCATCGAATTTGGGTTCAACTGACTTTCGATCAGAAATGGAAAAGAAATACAAGGTTTGAGTATTTGTAGTCGATCACAATGATATATGATGTTGGGCTTCTTTTGTATCTTGCTCACACAAAATATGAAGCTGTTCATCAAACAGTCTTGTTGTAAAATTGTAAGGTTGGTGGATCTGAAGCATTTTGAGGAGAAAGATCTGTCACAACCGGTGATTCACATCACAAGTGTGATTCACATCACAAGTTGTTTACCTGATCAAATCATCGTAGAATTGAACATGATCCAGATACATACGTGTAGATACGGCGTGCTCTGAAATGCGGTGAGAAAGGCTCACTCCTTGCGAGGATGGATGCTATATTGGATAGTAGGAGTCGCTTCGCTATCTGATTTCTTTGGTCATAGAGATAGACTGATCGAAGAGAAGATTACCAGATCCTACCTTGAATGGAGAGTTTTTGAGATGATCTGTTGCCTAAGACTCATACTCTGGATCTTATGAATAAAGGGTGGCCACCTTCGAAAGAAAAATGATGTGAAGCAGTTAGTTGCATCAGATGAGAACATGAGGAGACAGCATAAGTTTACTGGCTCACATAAAGCTGGAATTTCAGACACACAAAGAGTTGAGTGTTGCGATGAAATATAAAAAGCAAGAATTGAAGTTTTCACCAGAAGCACCAGTTGACCACCCACAAAACAACATTGATCTCGGGACAGCAAGCAATCCAGTTTTCAAACTGACCCGAGAAAACTGAAAGAATCGAAACATCAACTTTTGCCATCCACAACAAGAGAGACAATCAGATGAGGCCTGATCACAATGCAAAAGACAGAATCAAATTCTCTAGATAGTCAAGCTATGCAGTCAAATCCGGGGGGGGGTCCAGCGTAAGACCATGATGAAACTAGAAAATCAACAGGCTGTGCTTTGAATTTCTTCTCTCATCCATGTGAATGGGTACCACATGAAAAAATGTGAATGGCACAAAAGGCGATAGCTTCTCATTTCCATTACGGATAATGTTCACTGATCAAGCAAGACACGTTTTGATTTATTCTCAATCTCATCAACTAATTTAGTATGCGCCTTTGTAATCTCATCCAATACCTTATTGTTAGATTTAAAGTCATCTTTTGTAATCAGATTTCCATCAAGGTCTTTCCTACTCGCTTTTTGAGCCTGTGATGACCAATCAGCAAAGATAATCAGTTTTTTTATTCTTAACGAGATAATCTTGGTACTTACCAGTTGTCTAGAATTCCTGATCACACTCCTGGCTTGTTCACAAACTTGACCGGCTTTTTTAGAAAGGAGTTGTCGGCTCTCAGTCGTCAACCTGTTTAACCCAAAACAGCAGTCAGGAATCCAATCAAACGACAACTTCAGTTGAGAAGGGCTTGGGGGGGAACTGACTTGGGTATCGCCAAGTGAATTGATCCATCAGGTTGAAGATTAGGAGTCAGATTGAGGGATGAATCATATAAGGCTTGTTCAATCATTTTAGTATGCTAAAGATACACTCAAGTCAGATCGCAGTTTTTCCATTTCTAAAGCTACATAGTAAACATACCGAAGCGTCGTAAGCCACCACCGAAAGCTTAGTAGGGTCCAGAACTATGACCTGAGCAAGTCCTTCAATCGGACTACGAATCCCTCCTTCAATCTCAACTTTAAGACCATCTAAATAAGCAGGGGTGAGTCTCCCAACTCGATTGACAATACTCTTAATCTCTACTCTTAACTTGCTTACACCCGAATTCATTTCTTTCTCAACCCGACTGGCATCGAACTTTTCTTGCGCCTCTGTTGCTGATTGTTCATTGTTACCTTTTAGATAATATAAAATTAGGTATCATTCGCCAGACGTTTGGGTATTTTCGTTCATCAAAGAAGGAGGAACTGACTCGAGCCGCGTGTAGAGGCTTTCTTAGCTAAGGATGGACTGAATGATGTTAAAGGTCGGATGGGAAACAGATTTGAGCATGGTGAAGAGTTGATACTGGGTCGGGTTAGGTTCTTGAGAGGTTTGATTGGTATCCGGTGAGCTGAAGGGACCAACTTCCTGAAGGAACGACTGGCAAGCGACATGATGATGGGTGTGTTCAGCTGAAAATTTGAAAAGTGTAAATACCAAAACAAGTGTATGAGCTCTAAGATCTAGGCATCTCAGATAATACTCCTAACATTTAACCGTCCACTGTTTACAGAATGCCTGAACACATTTCCTCCAATGCCATCTTGTCAGATTTTATGGTATGGTGATCAATCAAGACTGGATGAGCTTGTTCAAAAAGCTGGTATGAGCTTCGAGGTCTTGAAATCTGGGGACACCCTCATCACCTTGTGATAAACCACGCGCCTGTTTTGTTCTTTCTGTGCAGTGCCGCCGATAGCCTGACCATGCCTTGATATTTAGGTGTTTAATCCTACCACATAGAAGGCTGTCAGAAACCGATTGTAGATTGGAATGCTTATACAAAATAACAAGATGGGTGAGGTGATGATTGAAAACCTGATCGGCAATTTGCATTAAACGGATCTAGTCGAGTCGAACGGTCAAGCATCACTTCAAGCTAAAGACTCAAATCAAACATATTACTTCCTCAAGCAACCTTCCTTCATTCTCATTAATCAAGAAACAAAAATGGCTGCAAAGGCAAAGGCTGCTGCCAAACGGGCCTCAAACAACAAAAAACTACCTAATGCTACACAAACTAAAACCATTGCTATGCTTCAACACGATCCTACCAGACCACCACCTCTGAATCCAAAAGACCAAATCATCTTTAAGGAAATCCTCGTTAGTCTTTGATTTCTCATCTTCACACTTGATTGTATTTGAATCTAACTTTGTCGGTCGTGACCTTTTTTCAGCATCAATACGAAAACAAACAATACACGGCTGGATTAGAAAATTGTAATGCTCTCTTAGCTAAATACCCTGGTCATGGTGAAACTACCGCAATGGCCGGTTTACTTCATCACTCACTCAATGATAAACAAAAAGGTCATACATTAGTCAAGGCTGGTATGAAAGCTGATTTCAAGTCACACATCGTTTGGCATGTCAATGGGATCATTACAAGGGCTGATTTGAATTATGCAGAAGCCGTCAAAAGTTATGCTCAAGCTCATCGACTTGATCCTGAAAATAATAATATCTTACGTGATTTGGCTGTACTTCAAATTCAAATGAGACAGTATGGTGCTTATGTCGAATCACGTTGGAAAATGTTACGAATCAATAAAAGGTCTCGTACAGCTTGGATTGCACTAGCGGTGGCCTACGTTCTCAACGATCAAAAAGATGCTGCACTCGAATTATTGGACGCTATGGAGAACTTTGAGGTTACATATGAGCCTGATCGTTGTTTTGAACGCTCTGAGCTCACTCTCTTCAAGGCTTCTATCACAACACCACCTCAAAAAGCACTCGAGTACCTAGAGAGTCATTCAACCGATGTATTAGATCGATCTGGTTATCTGTTGGCTCGCGCACGACTCCTCACGGATCTTGGCAGAACCGAAGCAGCTGAATGGGCTTGGCTCGACCTCATCGATGGTAACACGGAAAATCGGACTTATTTGAATGGTTATATCAATACCAAAACACTCGATGGGCAATCGTCGAATATGGAAGTCTTGACAAATCTTACTGAACGTTATCCTGCTTCTAAACTCATTCAGCGTACCATCCTCGATCACAGCTTTGGCACTCAATTCGAAGCTGAATTAGAGTCATATCTTTACAATAGATTTAGCAAAGGCATTCCCTCAGTCTTCAATGATCTTAAGCCACTTTTGGCTGATCCTGAAAAGGCTCGTATCATTCAAGCCGTTGCAGAACGGTTACGAAGTCAATTTGAACATAGCAGTGATGCTAACAAAGAATCACCTTCGACTTATCTTTGGATCTTACATTTCTTGGCTCAACTTTATTCTTCTTCACACTTTGGACTCACTTCTCAAGCGCTAGAAGTCGCTCAACTTGCCATCCAACATACACCTACTCTTCCAGACCTCTTTCTCTCATTAGCTCATATCTATAAACGAGCAGGGGCTTTTACAAAAGCAGCAGATGCGTTAAGAGCAGCGCGAGAGTTAGATGGTCAGGATCGATTCTTGAACTCGAAATGTGCAAAGTATATCCTGCGGTCAATTCGAGCTCAGACCGATCGAGAAACTCAATCCAAACTGCTTACAGAGACAAGAAAGCTGATCGGAATTTATACACGTAAGGATGCACCTGATCCAGTGAGCGATTTAGTAGAGATGCAGGCAATATGGTACGTAGCCGAAGAAGCTGAGGTCGGGTTGAGAGTGGGTGATTGGGGTGTTGCATTGAAGCGCTTCCATCAGATTGTTGACGTTAGTATCTCTCATCTTATTCTTCTCTTTCATATAGACTAGGTGTGTTGATGGCTCTTGAGTTGCATGATGTAGATCTATCGAGTATGGGAGGAAGACCAATACGACTTCCATACGTATTGTACACGTAAAAGTACACTCCGATCATATACCAAGTTTGTCTCAGCTTGTTCTCACTATCTTTCTTGATCGCTAAAGACTATCCCAAAGCTCACAGACGCTTGGTACCTGATAACCTGTAGCTTACTCAAGTTTGAAGATACCCTTTACACTCATCCTCAATACTTTCGAGCCGTTTCACAAGCGATTCAAATATATTTAACACTTCATGACCGTCGTTCAGCTAAAGATAACGTGATTGAACCCAAAGAATTCAATATCCTTGCTCCACCTGAGCCTAACCAGTCAGAAAGTACAAATGCTAATGGCACAACCCCAAGCCAGACAAATGGAAAACCTGAAGAGACTGCAATGAGTAAGAAAGCATTAAAGAAAGTAAAGATGGCCGAGATGAAAGCAAAGGCACAAGCTACGATTGAGGCTAAGAAAGGTAAATGTTTCTCGTATTTTACTGGTTTTGATCAAAGCTGAACATCAGGTCTTTTTGTGGATCGGTTTGTATGTTCTTTTCACTAATAGCGATGTCGAAGATGAAAGGTCAAGATGCGACCACAACAGCTCCTACACCTGAAGTCGTACCACCTATAAAGGATGATGATCCGATCGGAGAAAAGTTGGTCAAGACTGAAACCCCACTAGAAAAGGCAGTGGAATTACTTAAACCGATAGAAGTTAAACTTGGTCAAAAGGGTGTCATGGAAATGGAAGTTTGGTTACTTAGATTCGAAATCGAGTTAAGGAAAGGTAAGTTCTTGATCTGTGTTTTTGATTTCTTGAATCTTGAGTCTCTTCGAGTAACTTTTTTCCTGATGATTCGTGTACTTCTGGGGGAATAAAGGGAAACCTCTCTTGGCACTTAGAGCCTTACTTAAAGCTCGAAGTTGTGTTGAATCGATTACTCCCAAGATCTATCATGCTATGGAAAAATTACAAAAAGAAGTTAAGGAGAATGAAAGTATAGAAAAAGAAGTGATTCAGAATGGACTTGGATCGATCATAGAAGAAGTTGAACGTAAAAAACGAATTGATGATGATGATGAATGGAATCTAGCTTTCGGTAAAGATTTAATGAAGTTTGTTAAAGAAGAAGGAACTCAAGATTGGAAACTTGGGTATCAAGCATGGGAAAGATTAAATAAAGATGAGGAGTTTAGGATTTTAGGATGTAAGAAATGGGAACTTGTTGAAGGATTTCAAGTTAAAAGTGATCAATTAAATAACCAAGATCAAAAGAGTGGTCAAGAAGGAACAGATGATAAATTGTTTGAAGTTAGAGATTGTTGATTTATGTTTGTTTGAAGAATTTGTGTTTGTTGTTTTGTTTTCGATAAGGAAGATGATCAGGTAGGGGTTTTCAATAATTTTATAACTTTGATTATTCATATGTGCAGGTAGAAATCAAAGTCAAATATATACAGCAGTGAATTTGGTGGGAGATAAATTTGACGGACATGATGTTATATCTTCTAAAGATAAATATGTTCGAGTGAGTGGATGAAAGTCAATGAGTTTAGAATAACAAAACAATGTTGTGTGTATCTGTGGTAAGAAGTGAAGTTGAGGATTTATATGACAACTCCACATGCATGGTTCATTTTCTGGTGAGGAGGCAGGGACAGGAACAAGAAGGGTACTATGTATGTCTGACGCATCAAAAGATTTCACTCCATCACTAGGCTTTGATCTATGAAAAACTCAAAAGTCTAGGGATTATATCAAGACGCAAACGCAAGATGGGCAGACACTCTGGCTTGAGAGGATGATCAGGTTAAATCATCTCCAACGCACCCCTTTGTACATACATAACAATTCTGAGGCGCGCATAAGATACAAACTCGTTTGAAGATCAAAAAACAATCCTCCCTAGACTGCTCGTGAGAGAGAGGAAATGACTTTGTTGCAGTCCAATTTCCAGCATGGGAGATATTGGAAAAGTATCAATTTTTTGAAGTGATATCATAGAATAATTTTGTTTGAAAAGTCGAAGGCGCAATATTGTGATATGAATTGCTTCACGAAACGCAAGGAAAAGGTCATTCCATTCCATTATCAAAGATCCTGAAGTCTTCTGACTGCAGGGTAGTGCACGACTGAGTGATCGAGTGATCTAGGTTGTGTTAAATGTCGGTTTTGGTCAGCTTTCTTTGGATTTCTAAATCCGGTATAAGCCAATTTTGATCACATCAAATGCGTTCAAAAGCAGGTCTTCGAGTTCCAAGGACTGGAAAGAGGAGTTCCTCGTAACACATTTCATTTCCAAAAGCTTGACCAAATCCTCTGCCAAACTGCTCGAGTTTTGCGGACAATCAGCACACATAGACCGCGCACACGTTGAGTTGCATCAAAAATTGAGTCGGCTTTACCTATGAAAGTAACTTGAGCGGCATCAGCAATGAGATCCTCAAAGAAATCAGAGATGCGCCTCTTATTCTACATTGTAGCGGTATAATTTTCATCACAAATAACTCCAAGAGGGCTTTCAAAAATTCACGATGAGTTGAATTCCTCAAAATAAGTCTTGCCCCCTACTGACTGATGACTGGGTTTTAGGAGGCGTGACCAAAAAAGAAGAAAAGTCAACTTTGCTTTACATTTGAGATTTTGAAAAGCAATCAAGCTGAACGTTTTGATCAGCATTTCTCCATCAGAACTTGTACTTCTAGTGCTTCAGCTGAGCATGATTTTCTTTTTTCCCTCTTCATACGAAACATTTTTTTCTCAAAAATCATTCACCTCATTCAACACTACAAGGAAACCACAAAGCAAGTTTAAATATATTTTGGCCTACTAGAAGCTAGCTCAGAATGACTTCAAGTTCAACCTCTTCGTCGAATGGGATCACATTCAAAGTTCTTTTACCTCAAATTAATCATCCTCTATCTGGTCCTCCACCAACTCCGCGCATCAATATCTCAGGGCCTACGACTTTGAAGAGTTTTCCCCTTCAAAGAGTAGATTTCTTGAATAGTAATTTGAAAAAACTAGTCTTGAAGCGTCCTACATCCATCTTAAAGTGTAAAAAGGTCTTAGGACGTGGTGATGGTGGATCTGTTTATGAGGTTAGGTATCCATTGATGAAGGAATCATATGCTTTGAAGGTTGTCAAAAGAGGTTCAGCATTTCACTCTACTGATAAATTCGGAAAAGATGGAATTAGAACTGAAATCACTTCAGCAAAAAAACTCCGACATCCTCATATCACCGAGTTCAAGGCGGTCTTCTGTGACTTGGATCATCATTACCTCTTAACTGAAGTATGTGGACATGGCGTAAGTTTCTCCTTGATTAAATTCATTCTGAAACCTCGAAAACTGACGCTAAACTCTTGATTCTACTTTCCACAAAAAACAGTCTTTGCAAAACTTTTTAGATGACGTAAGAGTTTTCAATGAACCTGAATCAAGACTACTAATGCTTCAAGTTGCTTCAGCTGTGAATTATCTCCATCGAACTGGAGTCTCTCATAACGATCTTTATCCTCGTAATATCTTGGTAGGACAAAGTTCGAATGATAAAGGTTTAGCTCTCAAGCTCACTGACTTTGGTTGGTCGGAAATTAGAGGACCTGAAAATCATCAATTCGATTCATCCATGTCAGATCTGCTTTATACCGGGTGGTCGACTGAAACAGACCTAGAGCTTCTTCCTGAGATCTTGTGAGTTATTTGGAACATTCAAACTATGTTTAATTTCTGTATATCAAATGCTAAACTGTTGGATCCCATTTTTTTTACTTTATTTAGGCCTCGCCTTCTCTTCAACCTAGTTTCAATCCAACCTATTGACATTGAAGATCTACCAGGAAGTAGTGATTTATTAAAATCCTTACTTGCTCAGATATCATCAAACTCTCGTAAACAACCTCAAACTTCGATTTCACAACTCTTGGCTCATCCCTGGTTTTCTCAAGGTGAATGTTTCATTCGAAAAATTCCTTTCGTTATTGGTCGTGCAGCGCGCCAACAGCCTACCTATAATCACGTAAATCGTCAACAATCTGACATCAACAGACGGGAGGTGGCGGTGCAGTTGGGGTTACAGCCGTTTTTTAGCTTATGATGAGGTAAACTCGGGAGGAGGTGTTGTACTGTTCATAGAGCTGTAAAATGTTGAATTTAATTTGTGGTATAGAAATATCAAAAAAAAAATGTGATTAAATTATTTCACTCTTGACGTCTCAGGGGGTTTGAAGGATCACTATAGTATCAATGAGAAGCAAATAGTCAAAGTTCTCTTTGCCTTTGATTATCTTACTCTTTCACTGTAGATTGGGCAAAACAGTGTACTGGATTTCAAATTATCAGGAGAGAAACCACTGCCTTGACTTTTGTTTAAAATGTCCATTGTTTTGGACTCTTACGTGGACCAGGAAATATAGCTAACAAAAGCCCTAATGTACTCGAAGGCTGGCAATACTTGCCAGTTATTTTGCAGATCTTTGGAAATGTCTTAAGGGACCTCCCGCGAGGGGATTTCCGTAAATCATCTTGGAATTACGATGTCAACATTTAGTCTATAGCAGTCACATCTAATCCACTATACATGCCTTGATCAGGCCTGAGGATGATACGTGAGTGAGGTAATTGAACTAAATTTCAAATAAAAGTTAAAAAAACATATACAAACAATATAAAATATTTACGATCATGAAGAGCTAGTCATCATTAAGGCTATTGACAAGGGAGTTTGATTTCGTTCAGAATAGCAATGAATTTGTCCTTTAGATGCCAGTTATCGATTTTCAACCTCTATGAAATATATGACGTTGGCATTCGTAAGTCTATGAGTCTTAAGTGAGGTGGTGGTGGTGGTGGTCGAGGTGGTAATGTCCTTTCAGGTGATTGATATCTTTCGTAGTCGCTATAAACAGATATAGGCGAATTGATCTCGTAATAAGATTTCCTTTCAGTAAATGATTTACAAGGTCGCATGGGCAATGAGATTTCCAAGTGAGATAAAGATTTTTGTGTTTTGGTTTTGGGTTGGGGTTTTGAAGGTGGTAATGATGGTCGCCAGATATTCAACCAACTTCGCCAGACTGTCAAGATATCCGAATCGACAAAAAAACTAGCACCGATGAGCGGAAAAGTAATCATATACATCGGTAGCACCCAACCATAACTACGAGACAAGGTAGTTCGGTACCCTGTTGGGCCTATGCGTAGGATTAGGTAGACCAATGCACCGAGAGCCGAGAGAACAGAAAGAGACACGAGACGTAAAAGTAGGCGGGTGTGTAGCTTTGATCGGATGAATGAACGTGTCCTTCTTCGAAAGAATAGATATGAGATCACAGCTGCGACTATATAGAAAAGATGAAGCTTCCGTGGTTTCAAAATCCCGACTAGACTAGACCTTGGTTGAAAGGCACGCAGAAAGAATGTGGACTTACAGCCAAAGATTGTAGCGGGTGCGAAGTGGCACATCATTACCAAGCTCACTTTCGTCTGCGTATCTTCTCCCAATGCCATACAAGTGAATTGATCGGCTGATTTGGATCGAGACGGATGAACACTTCAGACTTCTACTTCTCAACTTATCGTAACAGAAAAGCGCGACAAACCATGTACAGTCTTCCATTCATGCCTATAAAACGCTCGAGCAGTGATGAAAGGCGCAGGTAGCGATGTGAGCAGTGGAATTGCTACCAGAAAGTATTCCGACAAGATCAGTCGGTCGGCGACCATAAGGGCTTCGGTGAAAATACGATGCCAGTTGACTAGCTTCTTGTGTCTTTTCTCCAAACCACAAGGAAGTTCTATGAGGGTACTCGCGCTACTTGTACGTTTGTCCATTCTTGTGATTCGTGAGATATCCCATATAATCCGTAGCACTTCTCCCGAAAACGCAAATGCAAAGCCAGGGATAGCCATCCAAACTAGAGATTAGGCGAAAGTGCGCGATATGAATGAGATCGAATGTCAGGAACCTCAAGAACGAACAAACTGTGACTGTTGCGTACAATATGCGACGAGCATGGCGTTTGCTTGACATAACCTGAGGTGTGGCCCAGCCGGTACTGTGATCAAGTCATACAAGTTCAATGAGCAAATTCCCCATGCTTTCGGTTTGAAAATGACTTACTCACAATTTGAACGAGTCACTGGAACTGGCTTTGCTATATCCCAAATTCCACCCATGAGTGGCATAAGTGAAACCCAGCTGGACAACCACGCTGTGATTAAGAAAGCAAATAAAACGGGATGTCGATGTTTGTTTCCTTGGACGATCGCACCGAGTAAGGCGCCGATGAAGAGAATCTGAAAAATCTACACACATTGAAAGTGATCCATCGATCGAAGCTCATCAACATGTTTCCTTTCCAAGGTAAGCTGGAAAGAAACTTGTGAATCGAATCAGATGACTTACAGCAATGCCCCAAAATACCTTTTGAAGCACAAGAACAAAGGGGCGGCCACCAGGCATTCCCCGAGAAGAAGGAAAAAAGTATTTATCACAAGAAAGTAAAAGTGAACTTGTCAAAGGATTGATTCCAGACCGCTCCTCGTTATCAGACCGGCGATCGAAACCCCAAAAGAAGAAAGTTGAAAAGGGGTTAATCTGAATATAACGATATGATCACAAGAAAGATGACAAGGCCGATCCACGGAATTCAAAACTCGCACGGCGATGTCTATTGGCTTTCGAAAAATAACAGAATGACAAAAAGATCGAGAGTAGCTCAGGACTCAAACTAACACATGGGGAAGAGGAGCAAAACCAATAGAACTTCGGAACCGCCACACCTAACTAGGTAGCAAGGGGAATTTGGCCGACAATGATCCATGGTTCTTTGGTTGTCTCAATGGTGTAGTGTGTATTCTATTCCCTTGTGTTACCTTCCCCGTGTCTAAAATCTGTAGTCACATCCACCATGCCGCATTCTCAAATTCCAAACAAAAATACGGATGCCAAAGCATTTGATAGCGCCACTCGGTGCCGACTCTCGTCGTCAAAGCAGCGAAGCCTTGGGGCGGAGGATATACACGTGATGATAGTATGTACATAAGCTTAACTAAGCCCCTCTTATTTGTTGAAAAGTTTTTTTGCAACGGGCTGCAGCACACCGCAGCGATCCAGCGTTGCTTCTGAAGACTGAAGTGCCAAGTGTGTATGGAGAGATTGAGAATGACCACCTTTGAGTATTTCAAAAGCTCCTATATAGTATCAATATCAATGATGTGGTCAAGGAGTCAAGGACGACCCTAACCCAGTCCTTCGAGTTCTGGAGTTGGAGTTTTTGTCGAGGATCATGGTCATTGCCAATTGCGCGAATTTGCCTCCGCCCAGAAAGATCAATGCAGTTAAACATCATCATTTACATATGATATCCTCTTTATCTCAGAGCCTGTGCTCTTGATGGCTGCGATTCAGAATGAGAGTATGGCCAAAATATTCCTCATGGACACACTTGCAGAAAGAGACACTGAACTTGCTGTAATGATATGAGAGATCCATTACTCTCCGGGTGTGGGGTAGTTGGGTGTGTGTAGAACCGTAGGTTATACATGCAGAGATTGTGTTATTATCACCCAATCCCTTCTACTCTTAGGATGAGTCTCTCAGTTTGACCGGTTACCAAGTAGGAAGTTTTACCTTCCCAAGTTCCTTGTAACCACTATAAATAACTCTAGCTACTTAGGGTGGTGTGGGGGTAGGCCCCGGTAAGGCAGGCCCCGGGGATAGACGTCTATCTCCGGATTCGGACTGCCTCACCGGGGTGAGAACAAGGAACCCGGGGGGGCTTCTCTTCCCCTAACTCACGGGGGAGAAGAGCCGTGAGCCTGAGAAGCCCCAACCCTCTCTCCGCCGTGAGCCTACCTTCTGGGTACCAGGTACCCCAAACTCTAATTACGTATTGTGTAATTAAAGTTCCCCATCAACACCGCTCCTTCGGCTTTGCCAATCTGGTTTATTTAATTGGAACTCTGGTCCATTTATAACCATCACTCTGTATTCCACGAAATACTCAGACGCACCACTGTCACATGAAATAGTACAACTTCATTTCATGGGGCACTTCCCTTTGTCATCCACCTGCTCCCGAGTCTTGCCGGGGGACCATCGCAGCTCCTTCAACAACAACTTAGTCTTCACCAGCTCTTTCTCCGGGAACTTTCTTAGATAAATCAAGTATGCGTCAGAGGCCCATCTACCACAGCTCTTTATCTCTTCCCTCTGTGCTCCTAGATTCCACCGCAGCGACGCTCCTCCAATTCTAAAGGAATGGCCGTGTAACGCCTGTTTCCTCTTTGACTTCCTCTCATTCCAGATTGACCTAAATTGATTTATGGTAGACTGTTTCCCCAACCGCTTCTTCTTATCCATAACGGTGATTGAGAAAATCTCATCACTGGTCTTCCTTGGTCGGAACGCATACCATGCTTCTAGTGTCGACACAGGATCCAAAACTGATTGTTGACGATGTAAGTAAATCCATTGAATCTCCCCTGGTTTGGCCGTTTTGGCGTTATGAATAGCCAATTTGACATAGGATTTATCTTTCGCCCAGACCAAGTCGTCCCACCTCGGAAGTCTCTTCCTCTCGTTATCAGACAACAGTTCGCCTAGCCTGGCCGTACCCCAAAAGGCCACAAGAGCAACCGTCAACATCACCAGACCAACTTCCCCTCGCTCTGGTAACACCTCAAGCAGAATTACTAGGTCCGAAAGTAGCACCGGGGGCCGTTTCTTCTCCATCTCCAATATCTGAGCTTCGATCATCTTCGTCGCCCTCAACAGCGTCCTTACTGCTCCGTCTACTTGGTTTGGGTAATCCTCATCGTGAAATGTGTGCCAGGCCTTTATGCCTGCAATGTACGCTTTAAGCGTAGTCGACTTTACTGACTCGTCCGTCACCGCTGACTCCACCTCTTTTTTCGATGCCCAAACAACAAATCTCTTGACGAGCGCAGGTGAAATTGGTAGAAGGTCTTTCTTCTCTATTTTGTTTACGACTGCAAACCTATGAAGTTTCACCACCCCTGAGTTATAGCTCTTCAACGTCCCGTCTCCCCAGGCTCCTCTAAGGTAATGCCTCTTTACTTCGTCCTCCATAGAAGTATCGATCCCTAACGCATCCTTCTTGAAAGCTCCGTAGGGGTTTGTCGCCTTCCTCAGGGCTTTAAGTTCGCTCATATTTGAGGTATGCTGTATGTATGAGACAAAAACCTCTCCGTCAGTTTTCTTGTATCTCTTGAACACATCTTTCAAGCTGTCTCCCGGCCACTCACGGATTGACTTTCGGAGGGAAAACTTGTTTAAGGATGAACTTTAGATCTTCTGGAACAACCACCTTCACTTTGTTGAACCACATCAGCTTCCCAAGAAACCCCCTAGACAAGGCATCCGCGTTGTTTCCCTTTGATGTAACTCGTTTCGCTTCTATGTCACAAGCTAGCGTGGTGAGTAATCGTTGGATCTGTTTCCATTCGTCATTGACTCCTCCGTCCTTGGATTTCCGTTTACGGACTGCTGACTGCGAGGTCGTATTGTCAGTCCACACGTAGAACTTCTTCCCTAAAACGTTAACCAATGACCTATCAGCTCTCTCACATGTCTCGTGCTTCATTCATTCATCTGAAGAAACTGACCTCCTACGTGTCTCAATGTGCTTAACATGACCAAACCTAGCCTAATCGTCACAGTCTCTGCCCACGCGATTGACCGCTTACCCTCCAGTAGGTTGAGCGTCTGCCACCCTTTCTCGAACTCAAAGCACGCCCAATTTTGGCCTACTAAAACTCCTATGCCAAACAAAGATGATGCATCACCTACCCAGGCTACTTTGGATGCTTTGGGTGAGGGAATGAGCTGCCGGTAAGTAAAGGCAAAGAGACAATCTCTCCACTCCTCAAGATCCGCCTTCACATAAGTCGGTGTTTTCCTCTTCGCTGCCAAGTTGACCCATTCTTTCAACCATTTATAAAAGGATCGCATGTACGCCTTCATGTGAGGGACAATGTACACCGTGTGCACCAATTTGCCAATCAGACTTTCTACCGTGTCGTAGGACCAGGATGAGTCGGGAACCAGTAAGTCCAGTATGAGCTGCTTCCTTTCTCTCAACTTCTCTTCTGGCAAACGCACTGTGTGGTCCCAAACATTCCATATGAACCCAACATACCTCTGCTCCGACGAGAATTCATGGTTCTTCACCGGATTTGTTTCAACGCCTAAACTATCACTCAACTGTGTGACATCTTCCAGCGACGACAAGTTGACCGGTCTTCTAAGGATCAGGTTATCGTCAACCCACCGAAAGATTTTCGGAAATCCTAGTACCTTTTCCATTATGATTTTCCAGACGTGTGCCGGGGCTCCAAACACACCACAGCTTGCGACGCCTCCAAAACCAACTGCCAGGTCTATCCAAACCCTGCCGTAAAAGTTGATGATACATAAAAACCTCCGTTGGCTAGGATGTCCGGGTAATTGACGGTAAGCTTTTTGCCAGTCGAAAATCGCTGCTTCCCACTCGCCCGGATTTTCTTGAAAGAAGACCGCGACCTTATCAAAATCGTCCCAATAGGTCCCGTAATTCAATTTGTCGACAAACGAGTTTACCAACGGGATGCCCTCCACTTGTTTTGGGAAGGACAGGTCATTCACCATCCTAATTGAGCCGTCCCCATTCACCGCTCCTCCCATAGGGTTTGAGCGAAAGAATCCTAATTGTTTCCTAACTTCCTCGTGAGTAAAGGGACCTACTATGCGTCCAGCTCTCCTTTCCTTTTCCAATGTCAGCTCTATTTGCCTCCTGACTTCCAAGGATGACTTGTGGTTTTCTGGTGTGTACCAGGGTAACCCTTCGATCTCATGTTGGGGTATTCCTAAGCAAAACCCCTCCTTGAAACCCGTCGTGATGTAGTCGATGTCTTCCTCTAAGCCCACCTCCTTCATCAACTTGGCCCATTGTGGAATATTCATCCTGCAGGAAACTGGGGCTGGCCACACGTTTTTCACGGGCACCGCGAAAATTTTTCTCTTCCAAAACGGTAACGGATCCTTCTTGTTGGTACGTGCTTCTTCGTCTCTCTCCGACTCCTGCGAGCTCTCTGACGACTCATCCTGAATCACTTGATGTTCACTCCGCTCAGCTACCAGCTCTCCTTCTATGGGGCTTACGCTCCTCCGCTGAGTGTTTCTCCTGTTACCCGGTGTAACCCCGAATCAATCACTAGCAAGGCAACAACACGCTCTTTTAGATGTTCTTTTCATCACTTAATACAAAATTTTCAACTAACAAATCCAAGCGTACCACCAGCCATGTATTACAATTGTAGATGAAAAAAGGAATCACAAAGAATCGCAAAGCACAACCCAGTCACCATTCGAGAAAATTCAACCGCAGGACGATCCATCAGGCAAATTACAGGATCAAATCAGCCAACACTTCTTCGGACACCCCTTTTCCTATAGACGAAAGGATGCACTCACGTTGTGGCAGTCTCTGCTGGCTGTGACTTTTGCGCTCCCACATTTGTGGTCTGCTTCGTGTTTTTAAACGGCACAAACGGCCTGTTCTGATGGACTGGCGCCGACGTTGCTGGTACCACCTGTGGTTGGACTGTTTTGGACGCATTCTAGGTCAATACGGCACTTCCGTCACATACACCCACTAGTCTCTTACTCACCGACATGCGGCTCCACGAAGTTATTGAACTTGCCACCACGACCCTGGGAGAAATTCTTTCTCATGTAAGGTTTCTTACTACCTGATCCTCTCTTGCCACGTTGACCAGATTGGCCCGACCCTGTAGCTGACTCAACACTTTTTTCCACATAGGACGGCTGTGCGCTTCCCACCAACGCTCTCCCCGTAGAAAAGCTGAATCCGAATTTAACGCCTCCAGGGGCGTAAGGGTTGTCCACGTGCTGTAGGTCTCCAGCTCGATCAGCTTCATGCCTTGCTTGTTTCTCAATTGATGGCTGTAAACCGTTTGGGATCGTGACCTTGTCTTTCACCACCGATTTCCCCTTTACTTTGGACTTGATCAGTTTGCGTCTCCTGAAGATTACTGTTCTAATCTTCAAGTGGTATTGAAGGCCTATCATCCAGCAATTATAGGACTTCTTCAAGTCTGAGACAACTTTCTTATGGGTGACTATATAATCCGCGTATGTGTCCAGGCCATAGATCTCCCTCGCGTATCTTTCTTCTAGATCACACATCTCGATGAAATCGCCATACGTAAGTTGTTTCTCTAGATTCTTCAGATAAGACTTCGACCAATCTGACTTGTCCTTTGTCTTCCTATCCGCCTCATCATCATGATAACTGTCTAGGAGAGACGCCTTGAACAAAGTTAAGGGAACGTAAGAGCGTAGTTTCCTGAACCCTTTATCCCACTTATCCGGTAAATCTGGCAGGTCCGCTGATTCAATACCCTTGATATCGTAATCTAGTTCTGCCTTATTGGCAGCCGACGAGTCGTCCGAGCTCGATTCATCGTCGGAACTAGAGCTTGAGGATTTCTCCGACTCTGAGGATCCGCTAGAACTTTTGCGTCTCTTCTTCTTTGAAGCACTCTTTCTCTTCTTCTTTTTCTTAGGCTTCTGATCAGAGTCTGAGTCGTCCGAAGAAGGTGCCTTCTCCTTCTTCTTTGCCTTTGTCTTCACGACTTCCGGCTCATAATCCAAGGATGGTATGTCCAAGACTTCGATGTCTTTGCTCTGCTTCTTCTTTTTTGACTTCGCTGTTGACTTTTCCGTAGGAGTCAAGCTCCTCCAGGCGTTACCCGATGTAGATGCTATCGGCTGTGCGACATGACATATGCCTCCCATTAGTCTTGCAGTTTATCTCAGAGTCTCAGGTATTTTACTAACCTCAAATGTTCCTGGTATGTTCTCAGCATCCATCTCATGAACTGACTCAACGCCAACTGACGCCCTAACTAAGTGACCAAAGGATTTGTTAAATTCCTTTGCTAACCGAAGCGTCGTCTCCGTATCAGTGCCATCTATTGCTTTCGCCAGCGCGTCCAGCAAGGTCCGACTCTCGGACTGTTTCTTCTTCCCCTTTGCCTCCGGGCCTCTCGACCCTTTTGCTTTAGGAATTAGAGATGGGAGAAACCAAACAAACCAGACGTTAGTCTACTCATCTTCTACTCTAAGGACCACCTCTTTTCCCGCGCTGATAGCTGCTGGACCAATGCTCGTCTAAAGCAACCGTCTTTGATCTGCGCACAGGTCGCAAGATCAACCTCTCGAGTCACTTGGTCTTCACAGGGCGCTTAAAGCTGCACCTGGACCGCAAACCTAGGCGCTAAAAGCTGCAACTAGTCTGCTCCAACTCTAGGCACCAACTAAAAGGATCAACCCGGAGCCTATGCGCTCATGTCGCTATAGTCCACGTCACAGTGACGGCCTCCACGATCTCCTCTTATCCTTCAGGCGCTTTAAGCAGCTCTAGGACCTGTCCCCACATGGACCACGGGCTTGCAGGCCCACTCGGCAGCCGTCGCTAGAAAAAGACGCAACATAGTCAAGTGAAATATAAAAACGAAACCACAACTCACGATGAGAGGAGTTTCTTAGCGGTGAATTCCCTTCCTTTCCACCTTTCTCTCTCAAATCTTCACCAGGGGACTCATCCTTCTTGTCCGGGTTTTGGCTAGGAGCTTCTGAACCCTCTTGGCTACTCTCAACTTCTTCGCTTTCTTCGTCTTCATCGTCGACTCCACTATCGTTCATTTCACCTTTCGCAGTCTGACTAAGAACCTGCTTGACGGTCTTGTTGTGCTGACGTAAGTACTCCTCTTCTTCTTTCGCTCTTGCCTCCTTCCTAGCCTTCTCTCGCTCTGCTTCTAACTTTGCTTTATTCTGGTGGTACACCAGAGTCGCCTTCGCCTGAGCCACCTCTTCAGCTTGTGCCTCCTGTCTACGAGCTTGAGCCTTCTTTCTCTCTTCGACCTCTTCCGCCGCTAATTTGTATTGATGAAGTTTTTCTTTAGCCGCGATGATTTGGTCCCTTCTTGCCATATCCATTTGTAACTTTAGCGATGTAGATAGATCAGAGAAGAAAAAATTTCTACTACTAACTACTGAATGATACGAGAGAAATTTGTAAATGAATAAGAACTTTGATGGAAGAGAAAGCTAGCGCTGAGGGTACCAAGCTGGAAGAAGTGAAAGAAATTTTCTGGCTCTAAAACTCTGTAGGAGTAGAGAGGTGAAAATTTATCTCTCTAGTTGCATTTTGGAATGCTACTCTTCTTCTCGTGGCTACCCGCCCCGAGGCAAAGCTCCGGGTTCCCTTCCCTCACTTCCTACCCCACTCTCCTTCGCAATGGACTATCGAATTACCGTCTCAGGCTTTGGGTAATCGATCATTATCTTCACGTCTTCATTGCGGCAAACAAAACACAATATAGATCTCAAAACAAGTAAAAAAGAAAGTCAGTAAAGGGAAAAGGCCAGAGACACAACATGACATATCAATGGGAACTCAGTGATATAAGTAAGTCTGGTTTGATAGGAGAATCCTACCATCTCTACAACAATTCAATATTGATATTTTCGCGCGTTTTATAATCAAAGAATCATACTTCAATTACCCCAAAGTTCAAACCCTAGCTAGGTCGCCAGCCCCTCCTGAGATCAGACTTCACTGCATTTGCCAAAAATGTTGCGATTTTCTTTCACTACAGGAGATACATCTGTTGTAGAGAGCTGTAATCACAATCATGTAGGTCTCTGGATGTTAGAGGTGCAGAATCATATTCAAAGCCTATAATTCACCGGTGTTGTGATCTCTCGAGATCTGGTGAAATCCAAATATCAGTCGAGCTTCCGAGTTGAACTTGCCCTTATGACTCCGAGGCTGAGCGCACAAATGTCCGCAAGGCCTGATGCGCGGGGATTTGGATGTGCGAGTCTCCTTCGGAAGGCAGCAGTAAATGGCAAGCGGGTGGAAGGGCAATGGTAAATGTTACCAATCTGACAAACTAATCCTTTCCAACACAACTTGAGTTGGATTCCTCACCACCAACGCGTGCTGCAATTGTTAGGTTTGTATCCTGTCTCCGATCCGGCTCGTAATCTGAATACAATTTATGCACACGCGCCATGAACTGAGGACATGACCAGGCATACTTATCGAAACGCCTCGCGGTCAACTTGAACTTAACTCAGTTTTCAAAGGGAAATTCATTACACTGAACATTCTCAACATCCTGAAGAAAAGAAGTCTTTGTACGTTCTTTGACAAGCTTCAATGTGTCAAGCTTAGCCTTTCGTGGTAATTTTGGAGTCAGCTCATTCAGACGCGAATTGAGATACTGAGGGAGATAAGATCTTCTCAAATTGACCAAGCAGTAGCCGATGCTTGACACTATATAAGAAGCTCCCTCGTCGTCTCTTTTGCCCTCATGTTCTTTGAAACTTCGACCTTCGTCAATCCGATAAGCTGAGGATCAGACCGATATTACTCAACCTAGACAGACATATGCAAATGAACCCACCCACACCTACGACTCCAAGACATACCAAGTTGAAAGACAACGAGGCTGTTAGTATAGTTTATTGGCAAAACACACCTCTTCCACTATCCCGTACCTCCAGCTCAAGGTTTGTCAAGCTTCAAGAAAACCAAGTTAGTATAGTAAAACCTCTGAACCCTGTGGTGGAAACAGAAGACTGTAGGAATTTCTTAAATCAGGCTCGACATGAATCCACTATGATTCAGAATTCTTCAAAAGCTTTGGATAGATCACTCAGAGAACAAAAACGACTGCGAGATCGACGTCCTTCGAATGTTAAAACAGAACAAGCAAATTGCACCAATCCACCTTTGGTCACAAAAGTTAATCCTGAGATAATAGCTGGGCTTGATGCTCTGCTACTTCGTGTGAAAGAGAAAGATAAGGCTACAAATCTCAAGGCTATTCAGGTAGGTCTTGATTTGATTCTACATGCATGGTTTTCAATTCATCAAGTTTCAATTCTATGCTAATCAAGCTTTGACTTTTCGCATTTCTGTCCTTCTCCATCTCCACCTGAAATTGTTGGTCTTTGATCAGGATAACAAAAGAGCACAACCTTTACCTAAATCCAGTTCTATCCTTCATCGTCATGTCCCTACAAAAGACACAATTTCTAGCACTCCCACTATTCAAAGTAAAATGAAACTGATTTCTAAACCTGGTCTCAACTCTAATCGAAGCCCATTAGAAGCTTCTTCTAGTCGTTCAAGTCAATCTGTGCCACAAAAAACAAACAATCAACTATCGCGTAAATTGAAGGCAACGTCTTACAATATTTCATCTGATGCTACGAGATCTAACATGCAACATACTAATCATACTTCATTGACGAATCCTAAGAGTGTGCATTCCAAAACACTCTCGTCAACTGGAGTGGGAGATAATCATAAGAAGGTTTTGATCAACTCACCTCACGTACGTGTCAGTACCAAAAAGACCACCACGACTTCTACTACTATAGCTACTACCACGACGACGACGACTACCACGACGACTAGAAGGTCTGCAGTATTGCATCACCATGAATCAGATTTATTGTTAAGCGGACTTGGTCCCGATGATTTGATTTGGAACTCGGATGAATGATTTGGTCTGGAAAGATAAATAAACCATGAAGTTATATTTGTGTATCTGACACGACTTTGAATTATAAAGGTGGATGATTTTTCCATAAATCAATATAGCATTTAATCTTTACCAATATAATGATTCATCTACCCATTTCAGTAAATGATAATCTGATAATTTCTAGATGCATTAACTTGAGGGGACTGATCTTGCTACACAGACTTGGATGTAAAGCCGGCTCTAGTGCTTTGGTACATAAGCCTACTTGTGAGGTGATGACCAACTTCGATGCTCAAAACTTTAACCATCAACTGAAATTCCTTGACTTATCCACATATTTCCCTTGTCACAATACCGCACAAACAATAAGCAACCACTCATCTCAAAATGACTTTCTATTCTCTATGATCCGTATTTCAGTCGGGTAGATTCAGTCGGGTAACAGAAACGTTTTCTTGCATGAAAGCTAGTGTCGTGTTAGAAAGTACAAATGTAAAGAAATTAACCTGTACAACAATACACAAAGCGTGCCACGACTATATAATACCGAGCAAAGTCCTTTTCATCTTTATCTCTTGACTCGCCTTTTCCCTTTGGTGCCTTTATCAAGTTTCACACTTGAGTTCCTTTCTGGTTCGTTCATTGATCCTTGAGTGTTTCCTGATTTCTCCTTAGGTTTGCGAGTCTTGGGGACTGATACCTCTTTGGTATGTTGCCGTTGCGGCGGGCAGTAATCTGAACGTTTCTTACGAGGTAACCAGCGCTCTGGGTCAGGAGCAGGCCGAGAGGGGTCAAGTGGCTTCTTCATCTTAGGCGTGGAAGGAGGTTTCGCAGGTTGGTTGGGAATCGCCACGCCTGTTGCTTTGATGGGCTTAGTTGGTTGAAAATCAGGATGAGATTGAAAAAAGGATGAGGTGACTGGTGTAGACTCGAGTCTATCGAGATCAATTGAGGTAAGAAGAGAGGGAGCGGCAATGGTCTCGAACTGCAACCGCCGTCGGACATTAGCTAGATTGACAGTCAGGTCTTGGTATTCTGGGTGAGTCTGGAACAAGAGAGCGCAGCATCAATATGGTGACCATACTGGACTATTGGTAGGCCATTCTTGACCATGTCAGTGGAATGGATAGACTGCTTACTGGGTCCGAATCCACGAGTAGGTCCTCATAATGATCCTTGGCTTCCTCATACCGCTCAAGTCGAGAGAGCTAGATAGCTGTTGGTCAGGTTTCCACGCTTGTGTTTAGCCATACATCGGAATACGAAGGTGACTCACAATTTGGGCCTCCAGTAATGTTTTAATACGTTTTCCAGACGGATCAAGTTCCTCATCGATGTTTGAGAGTAGATTCCAGGCTCCTGTGATATCAGATGTCTTATAAAGACAATAACACTGGACTAATCGCATCTCTGGAGAATCTAGCTCTTTTCCTTGCTGACTGAGAAGAAACTCAAGTGCTTCATGATGTCGATCCAAAGATACGAGAAGTTTAGCCTTTGTCTCCTTTACTGTGGTATCCTGGGGATCTGTGAAAAGAACTGAAAAGCGGTAGAATGATTAAGTGATGATTGATAAACTGATTACTGGTAGTTTCGTACTTTGATTGACTGTCTTAAACGCATTCAAATGAAAACCTTTTTCCAGTTGGTGAAAAAGCCTAGCAAAGCGCTGCCGACGAATATCCTCTGCATTCTTCGAGATTGGTGTTCTAGTTTTCTTTTTTCGAGTATGAGTCTTAACCACTTTATTCTTTGGCATCTCCTATCGCTTATCGTTGTTTGAAGTTTGAATAAACTTGATCGTCTTGAAGTTGTGAATGATGATCGAAAGCAGCATAAAGAATACGCACGGTGATACCGATCAGTTTAACTTTCACAGACTTTCCGTGCCCCCACCGCGCACATCGCATCAGTCGCACTCAAAAATCTGGGATGGGTGCGTGCACCAAGTATCGTACAACAACTTCTGGCACCGCGGCATGTTTTTCCATAAAGAGCAGCAAAATTCAAAGAAGACTTCTGTCATTTGCGCTTGAAAGGAAGGCACTGTGTCAGAAGGGAAGAAGTCAAAACCCTGACCAAGCCTAGTTGGTAGTTTGGAAAGGATCCTTCACAGGAATCAAGGGGGCAGGTAATATGCATCATGAGCTGCGGCCACAGCACACATACATATGTAATATGCATGCCTGTGTCTGTAGAAATGATACGCCTGGAATAATTTGAGAAGTGAGCTCCACAAGTGTCAAGAAGTGCCATCCAGAAGTGGCTCCAGAAGTGGCTCCAGAAGTTTCTTCAGTGACACTCCCGGAGCTTCTCCATGATCATTCTAATAAATCTTGTTCTGAGGCACTGGCAATATGTGTGATCAGAAGATTTTCTACTGGGTATGGTTTTACAGGCACTGTCCATAATCATGTATATGTAAACTTAACAAAGTCCCACGCTCGCGCATCCTCGCGAGGCGTCGAGCAAGGGACTTACGCCAAATGTGTACGCTCCAAAACCTCAGAGATTTGGGTTTGGCAGGGAGCTTGCTTCAAGGCCTTATACCGTTTTCCACACCGAGGATTTGGGTATAGTCCAAAGGAAAAAGTTGAGCCCCTGCCTCTTCCGCATAATGTACATATTTTTTTCCCGAGGAAAGTGCTTCCCTCTTGCCTAAAATGTGCATCAAATATTGGCTCTTAACAGAGGATTACACATGGAACCTCTCTCTCGA